CATGTTTGGCTTTGAGAGCTGGGTTGGTGGCCGATACTCTGTCTGGAGTGCCATTGGCTTGAGCATTGCTCTCTACGTTGGCTTTGACAACTTCCACAAGTTCCTTAGCGGTGCTCATGCCATGGATAAGCACTTCCGCGAGACTCCTCTCAAGGACAACATTCCTCTCCTCGGTGGTCTGTTGAGTGTCTGGTACTCTGACTTTTTCCAGGCTCAGACTCACCTTGTTGCTCCGTAAGTCAGCCAGAATATGCGAGTATGTAGACTAACAATTATAGCTTCGACCAATACCTCCACCGATTCCCTGCCTACCTCCAGCAGCTCTCCATGGAGTCCAACGGAAAGACCATCACCTCTGATGGATCTTCTGCCAAGTACACCACTGGTAAGTGGATAACCTCCTGCAGGACACCTAGCTAACGTCCCAGGCCCCATTCTCTTCGGCGAGCCCTGCACCAACGCTCAGCACTCCTTCTTCCAGCTCGTCCACCAAGGCACCAAGCTGATCCCCACCGACTTCATCCTCGCCGCCAAGTCTCACAACCCTGTCAGCGACAATCTCCACCAGAAGATGCTCGCGTCCAACTACTTCGCCCAGGCTGAGGCTCTCATGGTCGGCAAGACAGACGATCAGGTCCGTGCCGAGGGCACTCCCGAGGAGCTTGTTCCTCACAAGCGCTTCCTTGGAAACCGACCCACGACCTCCATCCTTGTCGGCGGCGCCATTGGTCCCGCCGAGCTGGGTGCCCTGATCGTGTACTACGAGCACCTCACCTTTACCGAGGGTGCCATCTGGGACATCAACAGCTTTGACCAGTGGGGTGTTGAGCTGGGCAAGGTCCTGGCCAAGAAGATTCTCAAGGAGCTTGATGAGGCAGGCAATGGTGAGGGACACGATGCTTCTACTGGTGGACTGATTGGAGCGTTCAAGAAGTATGGTAACTAAAAAGGAGGATTGAGTGTTAATGGATAGCGAGTGGAACGATGTTGATAATGATTAAAGATAGCATGAATAAGTTTGACGGCCTAAGCTGTGGACTGTGTCTGACATCCGTGCATGCGTATCAAGTCTCTGTACATGTTGAGACGCAAAGGTACTCGTAAGTATGATGAAGAGAGTTATGTAGCATTGATCGCTGTGTATCGTGATTATCTGCCTACCTTTGTCAGATTTCCTTGTTATTCTCAGATGTCGATTGCATTGCAACGTCAGACACGGCACAAGAAGACGGCACAAGTATACCATGCACCTGCGCGATTTCTCACATTTGCATATCAAATCGCAACACCTTATCAGTTGGATTTATATTAATGACACGTGGAACAAGGCACCTCGGTCAAATGAGTGTTTACGTATATTTTGTATCGAGGTTCCGTGTCTCCGGCAGATGTATGTATTTCCGTTTTGGGTAGTGTCACTGCTTGAGCAGAGGTGCATCTGCGTAGATCGGCCCATTCAAGGAGCATCAAGGCACTGCCACGTTTTGAGAGCATTGATACCGTTAGAGTCCAGGTGCATTGAGAATGCTGCGCTTAAGAACATTGGCCCGTTTGAGCGTTAATGGTGAGACGAGCAGGTGAATTTCAAGCATGTGGAGTTTTGCGGGGGAATATGGGGAAGAGGGGGGAATTGCTCCTCTGAGGGTGTACAAGGTGGTATGTTTGTGAGATATATCACGCAGAGACTTATCACATCGGGGTTATAACGGTGCTTTTTATCGCGGGGGAATCCCCAGACCTGAAGTGCAGGAGTGAGATGGAGGGCGGGGAAATGGAGATTAGGGGGTTGTGTGTTGGTTGAAGCGAGAGTGCTTGGGTCTAGATGTTCAAGGTGCTGTGATGTTTGACGTTGACGTTGGCTTATCACGACATTAACTGTGCACGGGACTTAATTCGGCTCATGTCGGGAACAACATGTTTGTCTTCTGAGTCTGGGTTACAAAGCGACGATCTCTTGAAACAAGAACAGAAGATCGTCATTGAAGTCACGGCATCCGAAGCGAGGTTTGCATGCATGCAGTCAGGGTGATTCCATCTGAATAAGCCGCAGTCAAAGCGAACTGCATCCAAACATCTCTACCAATCAACATCACGAACCAAAACTGCGAGTCCGTTCTGATTTCGTCAGTCCCAACTCCACTCACACTAGCCCTCCCCCAATGCAATACAACAAGACACGGAAGAATTTTTGTGCACGACCTTGTCATTGGTGAGTGTGAGTGGGTAACTCCTCTGACGTCGAAACTTGAGGCTTTTCACGATGTTCTCCTTCCCGCGTCGATGACGAGATGTTTGAGTGGTTCACCTGCAATTTTTTCTTGGTTGGAGATATGCTATGCTACATCGGTGAGGGATGGTGGCTTGGACCCCTACTATAGACCCTTGAGATGAGAGACAGTAACAAACGGTTCAACACCCCCAACTGAGTATGAAGTTGAAGATAGAGACGAGGATGACGGGCTTGGAATTGAGTTCCGAAATCTGTTGAGTCGTATAGCGAACAAGATTCAGCCTGAAGAGATACAGTTTCCCTTTCCCAGATCAACAGGTCCCGCGGTAACCGACCGAAGATAACTGAAGGCATCGCCAATCAGAATACGGCGCTAAACAGTAAGAGAAACGCCTGAACGGTGCATCTTGGCTCTGCTGCTCCACTGACGGTTGATTCGCTACAGCGTTATCTACGGAGGGAGGCTATGCTAGAACGGACGGAAGCGGGTTCGTCGGGGTTGAGGGCCGAACGGAAAAGGGTTACGACTTGATCCGAAATGCCTCAGCCCAAACAAATGCACTCAGATAGAATACGCCCTTAGAGTTGAGCCAGTTTGAGGTTTTGAGGGAATTATGCTTGAATAGTGGCATGGTTCGGTGATTCTACGGTAGAGTAGAGGAATACGGTGGCAGAAATGATCCGTTTGACCCCTGGAAGAACAGGAACCAGACCAGAGGCTCAAGGGAGGGGGAGGGGGTAACCCTGGATGTAGGATATGACGTATTAGTATGCAGTTTGAACTTCATTGGGAGAGTAAGACAATAGTCGACGCCCGTATCTGACGGATGCAGTTACACAGATGATAACGATATTTGTTTACTTGTGACTACGGCTCCTAGACCACGAGACAGTAACACAGAGCACGAGATACACCACAAGTCCTATCACTATCTCAAGAATTACACGTGCTGCATCAAACCTGAACAGTCTAGATTTCGCGTTGTTACTGCACCGGAAATATTCTGCATGTGTGATACCCCAAGCATTGCCGAAAGTCTTCACATGCATGACGCCCGTTTCAACTCATCATCATCAGTCACTTCTGATTGACTAGCCTCAAAAAAAAAAGGACACACGCGAAAAGCCGCCGTGAGCGCCGTCTAATTTGATGTCCCGATCTCCACACCCCTGCATCGTGAGGAACAAAGAAAAAGCAGACAGAGAGGGAACCCTTGTTTTGGGGCTCAGACGGAGGGGAATGGCCGAAATACCGACGATGATCTGAAAACATATGATGGTGATGATTAAATCATAAAAATGGAATTAAAAAGGGGGAATTAAAATATGGATATTGAAGAAGAGGTCATAAAATAGGGGAAAAGGACGATAGATCGAAAGGCATCGTGATATTGAACAAGTGATGTCAATTGCCTGCCCCAGAGAAAAGAGTACATAATTGTGGAAAACCTGGGGTGTTCTGGAGGTAACACTGTTAGTTACGTTAGTGTTGCACTGCGTTAGAGGGAAAAATACCACTGTCCGTCTCTTTCACAGTGACCCACGATGCAGCCAGTCGACGTCAGAGGTGGGATTGACACGAAAACGGTTTACTTGACAAGAATATCCACTTTTTTACACGGATGGAGCAGTATCTAGATGATTCTAGGTTTAGTAATTGTTTCTATTGCCTGATGTCTCATTTGCAGTATATATCTCGTGAAAGAATTCCCAAGATAAAGTCAGGGTAAATACTATAGTCGTGGCGATGTTACAAATCTGAATACCCTGAAAAATGAAAGCATGTGGCGTGAGACAGGGTCCTTTTCCCTCTACAGAAGAGGCACTTTCGGGCAGAGGTGAGGTGAGGTGAGGTTGCAGTGGGACATGCATACAGAACAACCCCGGGCCCTGTGCGAACACCCTGTAGAGCGCCGGATAACCTCCGTAAGGCAGTGGAGGCGGCTTCACCAGTTACGGTCGGTGAAACGGTAGAGGGGGTTGATCCACATTGGTGAGGTTGTGGTTATTTGTTTGTCAGCTTATTGGAGGCCTGTTGAACAGTTGTCATGTATGAGTGAGCATGTTACTGATCTGTGTCTCCGACTGACATTTCGTTGAACTGGCTAGGTTTCGGCGAGGCTGCGGTGTAATGATAACAGTGAGAGCGACAGTAAGTATCCAATAGATCATCGCTGGGATGGACACGGGCTAGAGTGTCGGATGGTTGTTTGACAAACAGACGGCGCCAAGATAAAGAGTCAGAGTGCTGAGGTCACCGAAAAGGACACAGAGTCCACTGTACCGATGATGGCATGGTACAGGTACTGATACAACCGTAATGTACTGTACTTTACGGGCTGTGACTGTGAGTTGGGTCGGGCTGGGCTGGGGGCTGTACTTGGCATGAGTCTCCACTTGCCCGAGTTGAACTCAAACTTGACTCGGTGGGACCTGCCAGAGCCAGACCGGACCCATAACCCAACCCAGTCTTGACCAGGGCAGGAACATCACCAGTACGTACCATGATGGCATCAATGGGTCCCCTTCCCGTCATCGTCACCCTCAACCCTCCAACAAGAGACAAGGAGGGTGGCTTTGGTCTAGACATATAAACTCGTCTTCCCCCCTCGATACGGTCACCGTTTTCATCCATTCCATCCATCACCACTTTCATCTCCTAAGCACTCTTCTATTGCTTCCTATTTGAGGCACTCGCACTCAATACATCTGAGACCTTCTTACATACTCAATACACCCACTTACATACAAACCCCACACAACCGCAACCATGGGCAAGACTGCTGTTCACTTTGGCGCTGGCAACATCGGTATGTCTCTTATCGCTCAACGCTCTAGCCCCTCATGCTAACTATCCAGGCCGTGGCTTTGTTGCCTGCTTCCTTCACAACTCTGGCTACGATGTCGTCTTCGCTGATGTCAACGACTCAATCGTCAACCAACTCAACAACACTCCCTCATACCGCGTCATCGAAGTCGGCTCTGAAGCTACCGTCGAGAACACCATCACAAATTACAAGGCCATCAACTCAAGGACACACGAGGAGGACCTGATTGAGACCATCCGCACAGCTGAGATCGTCACTTGCTCAGTCGGTCCCAACATCCTCAAGTTCATCGCCCCTGTCATCGCTAAGGGCATCGACCGCCGATCAACAGAAGAGGCTCCCCTGCATGTCATTGCTTGCGAGAACGCCATCGGTGCCACTGATACCCTTGCCGAGCACATCAAGAACAACACTGATGCGTCTCGTCTTGAGGACCACCATCTCCGAGCCCGATATGCCAACTCTGCTATTGACAGAATTGTTCCCGCTCAGGACCCCGATGCTGGTCTTGACGTGACACTCGAGAAGTTCTTTGAGTGGGTCGTTGACCGCACTCCCTTTGAGGATGTTGGCATCCCCGACATCAAGGGCATCAACTGGGTTGACAACCTTGAGCCCTTCATCGAGCGCAAGCTCTTCACTGTCAACACTGGCCACGCCACCGCTGCCTACCACGGTTACAACCGAAGAAAGCGCACTGTCTACGATGCTCTCCAGGACAAGGACATCATGGCCGAGGTTCGCGGTGCACTTATGGAGACCAAGAACCTGATCGTCTCCAAGCACGCTATTGACGAGGAGGCCCAGGCCGCTTACGTTGAGAAGATCATCAAGCGAATTGGCAACCCCCATCTTGAGGATGCCGTCGAGCGTGTCGGCCGTGCTCCTCTCCGAAAGCTGTCTCGCAAGGAGCGATTCATCGGCCCTGCTGCTGAGCTCGCTGAGAATGATCAGCCCATCAAGTACCTCCTCGACGCTATCGAGATGGCCTTCCGCTTCCAGGATGTCCCAGATGACGAGGAGTCCAAGCAGCTTGCCGAGATCATGTCCGAGAACGGCCCTGAGGACGTTGTCAAGCAGGTCTGCGGTATTCAGGACAACGAGAAGATCTTCCCCCAATTGGTCAACGTTGTCCAGCGCGTCCAGGCCGACAGCGCTGAGGAATAAGCGATTTTCATTCGTTGCGATTAACTAGAAGAGATGGAGCCACAGGTACAAAGTGGCATGGCATGGCGTTTACGAGATATGACATACAATTTGCTTTAATGGCAGCATGGCGCAGGAAGGACTGGGATTCAATTCGAGCCTAAGGCATGATTATAGATTGATAGCACTGAATAAATCGGTCGCTCAACTACATTTGTTAACAATGAATTGTCATTGCTGTGATTTGTGACTCATGAATGGAATGATGAGATATTGGAGAGTAACTGGGAATAGTGGCAACATGAGGCATTTGTCCATCGGGCCTCACGGCATTAATCACGGCCCAACATGGTGATGTCGACGTTGACATGCCCAATTAATTAATCTCGTCAAATGCCAATTGTCGCATGTCCTACCCTGCATCTGCACTGATACTGACGGAGATCGGATGTTGCGTTCCCCTGTAGCAGCCGGGATCATATCTCGATACATCGCCAACGGAGATCCGATCCCGTCGCCAGCCAATGCCCCGAAACAAAATTTCTCATTCGCTGTAACGTTTGCCAGAAATAGTCTGAGGAATAACTTCCCATTCGCCGTGAATAGTCTGAGGCATACGTCGTTATCATGAGATGAGATTCGGCCCAGTTCCCTGGACAACTCCACTAAGAGCCGCTAGCGCGACCCCTTTTTAACCTTTAACCATCCGATCGGGAGGTCCGTAATCTTGCATCAGACCACGATTTGCATACCCACACCAACCAAAAGCCGATCCCTTCAAGGCCCCACGGTATACGGAGAATATCCAGGAGAAGAGACTACTTCGTATACGATGCTCAAAGCGCTGTGGCCGGCTGGCCTGGCCACCGCCTCAATCACCATTCAAGTCCACCGCGTCGACCCATTGCCCTTCAGCGCGTCAGGTATCGCTACTTCAGCTGCTGATCTCTTCTCGCGGAGTTGTCCAGAAGAAGCCGAGAACACAGCCTCACTACTGGCATCGTCGTTTCATGACCTCTCGGGAAGAAATGTATTCCCCTCGTCGGATGGGTTTGTGAGGGGTGCTGTTGAGGCGTGGGCTAAGCATGAGCATCTCATCCTACGCCCTGATGAAATCTGGTTTGAAGTTCTGGCGCAGATGAATGTCTACATGAGTATCCACTCTGAAGCTCTCCGGCATTTATTCGTTGATCACTCTGGGCGCGAAAAGATTACAGTGGAGGGCTTTTCATGGGACGGCATCATCGGTGCGTTTAGAGGGGAGATTCAGAGCAGGGTTAAGACGGGGTGGTTGTTGGATTGGATAACGCCCGGGTTTAGCACTTCGACTGCGCAAGATGACGTTACGGCTACGGTGTTGATGATGGGGCTGATGCAGCATTTCTTTGAGTATGAGGGTATGATGGTATGTGGAATACCGAGTGTGACGCTACTGGGGGAGAGGGAGGACTGGGTTAAGCTGGGGGAGAAGGTTGAGAAGTTGAAGGAGTTTGGGGATGAGGCGGCTGGGTTTGCGGAGAGGTTGAGGCCGATTATGAAGCGTTTTGTTAGTAGTTGGGGTGTTGATGGTGAGGGAGATGGTGAGACGAGGTTGTTCTGGGAGCAGATTGTTAGGGCGAAGAAGAAGTGGTCTTGTGGGGAGGGGGCGAGTGAGTGGGATGTTTCAGGGTGGATCACAGGATTTATGCACTGGGATCGAGATGGAAAGGTCAGAGGAGTCTATGAGGATTGGTTTGATAACTGGGACGATGAGAATGAAGAAGAAGAAGCTGGGGTGAAAGTCGAAGAGGTCAAGAAAGACGATACCAAGGCTGAGGAAAAGAAAGAGGAGAAAGCTGAAGAGGTTCAGATGGGCATCTTCCCCAACGACTGGTCCATCACAATCGACGGCCAGAGCTACATCCCCTGCACCCTTTCCGACATCAGCATCGGCTACGCCAAAGCGCCCCTACTCATGAAGAACTATCCCTCACCAGGCGTCGACACACAAGCCTATCTCGTAGCCGGCAACGTCGGCGTCGAGAAGAAGAACACGCCCGGGGGAGTCATGGCGCAGCCTGTGAGCGGGTGGTTCGTGTATGCGGGTGTTGATGCGAGTTATAGCGCTGGGCCATGGATTGGCAGTGGTGAGGAGTTGGGAGGGATCGCGGGAGGGATTGTGAGCTGTAAGGCTGCTCTGGAGAATGAGAAGGACGGGGAGGTTAAGGAGGGAGTAGTTGGGGGGGAGAAGGAGGAGGAAGTAAAGGATTTGTAAATGTAATATTTAATGAGAGAAGATTGAGATGGACTAATATAAGAGTTACATGGGAAATACAGGCTTGGGAGCTTTCCATCCTCGACAGCAGAAGCTGGGCATGTCGTGCATTTTCTTTCCGAGGAAGCCCCAGGGAGGATCACAGCCATTCATTTTCTGTTTCCATGCGTCGTCGTTGAATTGGTAGTAGTTCCCTGAGAACTCGTCAGAGGGGAGAGACAGGAGGAGATATGTGATGAGGAGAGAGGGCTGGCTTGGGGGACGAGAGACATACCATCTTTACAGGCGCAGAGACGAGGAAGACAGCAGTTGTTTGGTTTGGGGATTGTGCTGTTATCGTTAGTAGGTTGTCTTCGATGCTGATACTCTAATGAGACTGGAGATTGAGAGGAAGGTTGATAGTGAGATTGGCGACTTGTAGGATGGGCTGGTTTTGGACTGATGACGTTGTGTAGATAGGGAGGGGAGACATACTAGTGATAACATCCACTACTTGCCTTCTCAGGAACAGGTTTGAGAACAACCGGTTCGGGAGGGGGAGTAGCAGCTGCGAGTGCGATAAGTGTCAGTGTTGCGAGTGTGAACTTCATGTTTCTTGCTTTGAGCTGATACGATATCGAACAAGACGGGAGGGAGAGAGAAAGGGAAGTTCATATAGTTAAGATGTCATGCTTTGGAAAGCTTGAGATTGATTTGAGATGAGTCTGAGGAGTGAGTCGAGTATTGGGAGTGGACGCACGGTTGTTGGAGGTTTGGGTAGTTCTTTGTTGGCTTGAGTCAAATGCAGGGTGAGGGCAGGGAATGGGAATGGGATGCTTTGTGTGTGCTATTTTGGGAACGAGAGTGCCTGAAATAGAAATGAAAGGAAACGATTGAGGTCTTTTATTGACAGTGGTCCTTGTGATATGAGTGAGTGTTGCTGGGTGTACTTCAATGCCGTAGAGGGGCAACAGCGCGCGATGTTACTTCAATTGACCCTGGTGCGTTTTCTCGCGGTAATCGAGCCTTGGTCAGTTACGTTTCTTTCACAGATCGAATGAGATGTGAAAGGACTCAAGCGATTACAACTCTGCTTAGATGCAATTGGATCATTTGCTTGGCAGGAGACTGAGCTTGTCCATTGCTCTACCGGACACGACGTACCCATCATCGCAGGGACGGGATGGACAAAGAGGAAGCTTGGTAAGACAGAAAGACCATGCGGAGTGAGTGTAGGAGTTGTATGAATGGCGTTGGATCAGAGAAATGTTTCTTGGGTGGAGGGAGGTGCTAATCGTGAGGTGGCGTAAGTGTGGGTTCAAGAGGGTGACTGATGCATCGAAGGGTACCTTGGGATACGGGTGCAAGGTGAAAGAGAAGGATGATACAGGAGTCAGTGGAGAAGGGAAGAGATCATAGTGCAGTTGAGCATTGCTCTTGGGGATGTTAAGGCTCGTCTAGCACGCAACGCCTTTATGATGGAAGCAGGTGAGCAACTTGACGAGACAGAAACGCACAGACTCTCTACAGCTGCGTATACCAATGTTCAGAATGTGTAAAACAAGTCGCTGTTGTATATTGTCTACCCATATCTTCAAAGAATGTCTTGTAAACAATCGCTTAGCCAAATGCGCCCATCTGTATCGGTCCCTCTCATATGCGGTTACCGTCCACCGGTCGTCGCAATATCTGGAACGGAACTCGGTCGCTCTTAAGATCCAACTCGACAGTGTATCCTTAGGTCACGTCAGATGACTCCTATGAGAAGCCAGCATGGCTCGACTTACATCGTAAACGCTTCACTTGAGCCTCAAACCATCCGATTCAGTCACTCTCCTCTCTAAACCCCATTAGTGTCAATGCAAGCAAGACTGCCTAACTGATGACTTGCGGAATCGGTGGCAAGTGCGGGAGACGCGGTCCTGCACGCTATAACACGGTCTGCGTATCGGAAGTAGGCGTCTCAGGCGTCTCGCACGGAATGACCGTCACCGCCAAAGGAGAGAAAAAGTGGCGCCGAAGGTCAAGAAGCTCTCCATACATGCGATGTGTAGAGACGCGGAATGTGATGGGCTCCATGGCTTGGATTTGGTCTGGGCTGAGGCTGCGCCAGTCGTGGGAGGGAGGGTCGCTGTGGAGAGCAGGCCTGATGGTTATCTGTAGCCAAACCTCCGATGGCCGAGTGAACGTGACGTTCCAGTAGCCGTCAATGCGGTCTTCGGGCTCGTATAATATGCGAGGTAGGGGATGATAATGTTCGCTGAGGTTTGTTGTCAGGAGGGCTTCATAGTAGGGGTTCCTCATCATCTCGACAACGCGGGGATCTGGTGGACTTTGATCTTGGGAGCTTTGATCTTGGGAGCTTTGATCTTGGGAGCTTTGATCATGTGGGCTGGCGAATATTCTTGCCAGGCGGGATAAATGGTAGTCGTTCATTGTGGTTATGATGATTTAACGAGAGACTGATGATGATATTGATGAAAGAGAGAGAGAGAGAGAGAAGAGAGACCACGGGTAGACTTGGTGATATGATGAAGAGTAAGAACCAAGTCCAACCTTCCACTCGGATGATCACGAAAGAAGGAGCCAACCAGTACCGAGTGCATCTGTCATTGCCTAAGTATTAGAATTGCTTAGGCAGGGCCTTTAACCAAAGTGATAAAAGTATTTAGGTAAATCTAGCCTAAGCTTACGGGATTCTTTAATACGGTTATTTAGATTGCCGGGGCTGGAGAAGGTGGTATTATGTTGTTCATTGCAGTTAGCACGGCGAAGATATGCCCTGCGACGAGGTTCCTCGTGTGAATTGATACGCATTCTGTCGAGGTCGCTGATATTGACGTTGAGGATTCGTATGCAGGCACCATGATGAGAAGAGATTGACGGATCAAGGAAGAGAGAGGAGAGGGGACTTGGACGGCTGCGAGGTGTTGCTATTGGCAGTGCGAAGGTGGAGAGTGAAGGATATGAACTGCACTCGGCCATTCTCACGTAACTATACTAAGATATTGAGGGGTGCGCTTCAACTGATCTCAATGGAGTCTACTAATTTTCTCATTTTTCAGTTCTTATACAGTCTGTATGAACCCTCTGATAACCCTTCGCAGAAGTTGTCTTGACAAATTGCCTAACTCAAAGCTCAAAGTACTGTGTTGAAAAGAGAGAACAATCCGAATCAACCTTACAACGCTATCATGATATGCGTGCAATTTCCATGCCTCATCCGCTCATGCTACCTCAGTTCCACACTGACAAGCCCAGCATCACTCTCGAACACACAAAACCTCAATCCCAACAGCCCTCCCAAACGCAACCAAACTCTCCTCACTAATCGGTTCACTAAAGACCAACTCCCCCTCCCCACGCCCAATCCTCTCCTCCACATCATCACAAGACTTGGCCATGATGATCGACCACGCACACTCACTCCCAGACGGTCCCCTCCGGAAGCACGTCAGCGTCATCCCCGGAACAATCGAGGGTGGACGACCTGTGTTGCTCCCATCTGGACTGGCTGCCAGTCTCGCAAGCCATATGTTTCGCGGGCCGGGAACACGCCAGCAGATGTTAACCTGGGGTCCTGTCGTGTCGCAGTTGACGACGTAGAAGCCGCCTGATGCGATGATGCATGCTCGGGAGACTTGGGTTAGTCTGCGGCTGGAGAGGATGGGGGCTGAGCCGTCGTAGATCGCTGGAGGTATTTCGCTCCGTGGAGGCTGGCTGTCTTGCTCTTGTGCGCGTTGCTGATACTGCCGTTCTTCCTGGCGCCATCGATTCAGCGCTCTTTCAGGGAGACTGTTGATGTCAATGAAACTGACACAGTCGTCAAAGACAACTAAACCGCTTCGCGGCAACTCGTCTACATCTTCGATTGCTGTTTCTTGAGTGCGAGGTTCATCATCCGTTTCGGGTGTATTATCGTCGGAATGTCGAGGACGACCTCTCCTTGTTGGAGTGTGCGGTTGAACAGCGTCATGTTGATGATCGTGAAGATGGTGATGTCTTGCCATTTTTTAGTGACTTGGGTTGAGTTATTGGAGTGGTAGAAGTGTTGTAGTGTGGGCAGGAATTAATGACGAAAGATATGGCTTGGATGCAACGTGAGTTGACTTGATCAGCTGCCATTTGCACTGACACGAGGGTGAGGCTGTCACTTTACACTTGTGAATCATTACACGGGACGCACAGTTTCACGCAGCGACTTGCTGATTAAGATCATTCCTCTTGCATTCTGTTACATTTACATGCTTTTCTTCATGCCATCCCTCTGCCATCACCTCCGTTCAATCTCTCCACCCTATGCGCATAACCTGGTATGACCTCGAATCCTACAAGTCTACCCAGAGTAGACATACTCTCATGATCACCTGGACCTGTATGGATGACACGACCCTCTCCACGCTCGAAATCATCGTAATTGCGATCGCTAGAACTGCACAGGATCATGGATATCGTGTCTTCTGGATCAGCAGGTGACATTGCGAAGGTTGTATGAGAAAAACCCGGCTTTCTCTCAGCTTTCATGAAAGACATGATGCTCTTGAGAGGTTCATCAATGGGTTCGCCGATTCTACCGAGCCATATGTTTCGCGGCCCAGGAACCCGATAGCAGATGTTGACTTGTGGACCTGATGGGTCGCAGTTAAAGACACGAAAGCTTTCATCCGCGGAGATGACGAGGGCCTTGTCGATGACCGTTATATGGTCACTCTGTCAAGGTTGAGTAGCACTGTTGCTGGTTTCTCCGCGAGAAATGGGCTGCTCGGAATGGGCGCTGGTTCTGGCCTTCTTTCTTGGGGGACCTTCTTGGTGATCTTCGTTGTTGGGCTGAGTGTTTGTCCAGCGAGCTTGTGCTTTGGCCGACTGAGCGTCGAGATTGAAGAGGCTGAAGTAGTCATCAAATACTGCGAGGCCAACTCTGCTAGGATCGATTTTTGTGAGAGGCTCGTCCTGCTGGACTTGGCTGGTAGAGCGATCCTCGGGGTTTTGCTGGTCTTCGGTATCACCCCTCTCACTGTAATCCTCCTCCTCCTGTTCCTCCCCCTGCTCCTCCTCATCTTCAGCCAATGGCTCCTCATTGTCGTGACCGACCGCCTCTTGGTTCACAGGCTCATCGTTTTGCGGGGCATTTGGAGGTAGACCAGGCGGGAAAGGGTAGGTGTAATGGTAGTGGTAATGATGGTGATGATGGTGGTAGACATGATGCTCTTCCATCTTGACGCACCCGATGACGCAGTCGGGATGAGCTATCGCAGCGACCTTGAGTGCTGTTGCGTTGCGATGGTGAGATGAACGGAGAAGAAATGAAAAGCGCGAGGCTGCTTTTGTTGTTGATGTGAGCGATGACAATGCTGGCGGTCTTTTGCACCAGCAACACAGAAGAGGCTGCCATTTCGCGACTGTGAATCATTGTCCGCAAATGTGACACTGCCAGACAATGGCAACTCCAGTGAGAACGCTCTTAATATAATAACTACATAAGTGTGCGATAATAGAGTAAAGAGAGTATTCTAATGAAGCGAAGCATTGTACCAAATACGGTATTGTGATGCTGAAGGTGTAAGCTCACGGTCGCATTCTCAGCGACCATCGACACCATGGGCGCTCACAACCACAACTACCATCGCGATCAGCAATGCAGTAAAAACGAGATCAAAATAAAAATACTTTGCACTCGTGAGATTGATAATTCGCAATTCTCGATTTCATGAAGTCGACGTTGATCTTCACGAGTGGCGATTTTCCCCAGCTTCAATCCCCTCCAAAAAAACATGCATCATAACTCCTCCCCCAGACCCCAAACCTCCGCATCCCATCATCTCGTCAACTTAACCTTGTGCCAGAAAAATACCGGCCCAGGAGCTGGAGAAGTCCCTGCTTCTCGGTGTAAAGCTCGGCGAAAAATCCCACACTCAACTCCATTGTGGGTGAGATAAAAAGGGTCCACGAGGTTGAGAGTGACACTTTTAATACTGGGTCGCGTGTCACAGGTTTAGCACGTCAGTCAATTAAAGGCCATCACGACGAGCAGCAATGAACCTGGAGAGCATGTGGAAGAGATGATGGTGTAAAAAACTGGCTACTCCGTATATTAATGTTAATTAACTTCAATAGCTCACTGTCACTGAGCATGAGTTGACAAGACCCTCAGCCCAAAACAAGGATATCCCATATCGTCATCTTGGCAGTCTCGTTAAACCCTCATTATGCCCGCCTAGACGCTCGGCTAACTCCCGTTCTTGCGCCGCTATCCGCCTGCCAAGGCATCTTTTCTCCGTCGCAAGGATCGCCAAGACAAGAGCGGTTCCGAGTCTCATTGGCACGCATGTTGCATGCTACTGTATGTACCGTGGAAGGTGGTTGTGAGAATGAGATTAGTTGCGGCTTAAAAGCTGACGAATCTGAATCTCACAGAACCGCAATTGCCAAAAGAAGCAACCCGAGAGAGTCACTTGAAAGGAATCGTAAAGTTTAATTTGCGCAAAGGGATCGGCGTATACGACGGTCTTGAGTAAGGGAGTGTGGATGATCAGTGCTGTCTATAGGTTGAGATAGGAGATAATCCGATGTCGGGTCAATGGATAACAATGGCAGTCTTTGTATCAGTAAGTTCACTTGTAATCATGCAATTGTCCATATCCTGTGCAGCCAAGTTTTGGTGGTGGTGATGCCAATGTTCTAGCATCGCCAAGTTTACAAGTTCAGGTCCCAACTGATGATCTCCCGCGGCCAAGAAACGTGCGTTCAACGACGTGCATTTCCTGTCCCTATTTTCTATCCAATTCTATGGAATTGTCAGTAAGATCAACGGTTTGACAAGCAGCCCAGATCAATTGGACCCTTTGATCATCTTCCCCAGACCCAATTCACCGTTGAATGTCATCGCGTGAGGTCCACTGCAAACACCACTGAATGGACCTAACCTCCACTGAAATAGCAAACCTCGCATTTCGAGATTGTTTTCGCTTGCAAGAGAAAACTCTGAACTTTATTGCACTCTCCACGTCAATTAAACATTTCCAAGGCAGAGTAAGTCCTCACAACGATAATTTGTCACCAACAACCACTCCGAACCACAAATTCTGCCTCTTCTCCACGTAAACTGGAACCTCAATCACGCATTGAGCTCTTTGTCCGCTCCTCATAAGGACATGATCTTCAGTTCCCACCCCCGACCTTTGAGGCCCGATATTTTTTCACAATCCCCAGGTTCCTGTTTTTTTTCGCCATTTTTTTTTTTTTAGACGAGAGCTGTGGACTTTGGGGAAGACCATTTGATCGTCATCCACATGAACCATCGACTGTAAACCACCAAAAGCACATTAATTCTGGTCGTTATTAATCGTATAACTTCACGTGTAGAGCCTCGGCTTTATCATGCTTAATCGCTAGCACCATCGTGGGCATATCCCCTGAACCAATGACGTCTCTGCCGCTCTAGATGATCGCCACGACAGGGTTCTCTGCGACCAAATAGAACGTTTCATCCGCTAGCACCAAGGGAAAAAACATGCCGTTTTTTCAGGCGCCTTTGCCGCCTTGCACTTGACGTCACGGTTTTGTCTGCTTTCAGTAACACCGAGGTTTGCCTGCCCTGCTTCTTGGCAGATCCGAAGGAGTCGGAAGACGGCATCTGCAGTGTGCGTGCCCTGTAAGGCAGCGCCTGAAACTCACGGTGGTTAGGTAGAGTGACCTACCGTGGTTAGAGCGACTTCCAGTGCTGTGGATGGGGTTTTAGTGGTGAGTTACAGTGGACGCCTTGTGAACGACTCAGGCGTGGGGATCTCCAATATTCCTTCGATCCACCCGCTGTGACACTCCAGGTCTTTCAAGGGACTTTTTCGTTCTTTGACCAACTTTTCGACTTCTTTCAAGGATGATCGTCACTTCCAACCCGTGGAGATAGTGGACCGTACGTGGAGAAATAGTAATACACTCACTTCAGAATTTTCGCATCATCCCAGACTCCCTCTCCCACTTACACTCTCGCTGTCAACATATAAACCCTCTCTCCTCCCCCAATGCCTCCCTCACCAGGCTCCCCCCATCCTCCCAGCTCTAGACGAGCTCCCCCTTCAAACATAGCAGGTCTATAGCCCCCCTTCCGTCACCATGCCTCCCTCCTTCGCAGGCCTGACGGGCAAGAAATTGTCCCTGGCCATATCTACCGTCGCGACGACAGGTTTCCTCCTCTTCGGATATGACCAAGGTGTGATGTCTGGTATTATCGACGCAGACCCTTTCCATGATTACTTCCCCGAGACCAAGGATAGTACCATGCAGGGTTTCGTAACGGCCATTTACGAGATTGGTTGCTTGCTCGGCGCCATGTTCATCCTCTGGATTGGTGATCTGCTTGGTCGTCGAAGGGCGATGATCCTCGGTGGTTGGATCATGATCGTTGGTGTCATTATCCAAGTCACTGCTATGAAGGGCCACAAGGCTCTTGCGCAGCTCATCATCGGACGAACAATCACTGGTGTCGGAAACGGCATCAACACGTCTACCATCCCAACATACCAAGCTGAGTGTTCCACCACCACCAACAGAGGTCTCCTCATCTGCATCGAGGGTGGTATCATCGCCTTCGGTACCCTCATCGCATACTGGATCGACTACGGCTGCTCCTACGGTCCCCAGGACCTCACATGGCGCTTCCCCATTGCCTTCCAGTGTGTCTTCGGTCTTATCCTCTGCGTCTCAATGGTCTGGCTGCCAGAATCCCCCCGCTGGCTTCTCACCCACGACCGACACGAGGAAGCCGAGCGTGTCATCGCCGCCATTCGCGGCTTCGAAGTCGACAGTGACGAGACTCGCGCTGAACGCGACCGTGTCGTCGACTCAATTCGTGCCTCCGGTTTCGCTGCTCAGAAGAGCACACCCGTCAAGGCTCTCTTCACTGGTGGAAAGACACAGCACTTCCGCCGTATGCTTCTCGGTTCGGGATCGCAGTTCATGCAGCAAGTCGGTGGCTGCAACGCTGTTATCTACTACTTCCCTATCCTGTGCACCGACATCTTTGGCGATAAGAACTTTGCTCTTCTCCTTGGCGGCGTCAACATGATTGTCTACTCCATCTTTGCAACTTCATCATGGTTCCTTATCGAGCGTGTTGGTCGTCGCAAGTTACTCCTTATCGGTACTGCTGGTCAGATGCTTTCCATGTTCTTGACAATGGGTTTCCTCATCCCTGGTGGTTCTGACCCTGGTAACAATGCGCCTCAAATCTCAAAGGGTGCTATCGCTGGTCTCTTCACCTACATTGCTTCGTTCGGTGCTACCTGGCTGCCTCTTCCCTGGCTGTATCCCGCTGAGATCAACCCCCTCAAGACCCGCGGCAAGGCCAACGCTACATCTACCTGCACCAACTGGCTGTTCAACTTTGTCATTGTCATGATCGTCCCCATCATGATCTCCAACATCCACTGGGGAACCTATCTCTTCTTCGGCTGCGCCAACGCCACATTCTTCCCCATCCTCTACTGGTTCTACCCCGAGGTAAGCATCCCTACTTCGTCTCTGCAACCACAACTAACAAATCACAGACTGCCAACCGATCTCTCGAGGAAATTGACATCATCTTCGCCAAGGGCTTCGTCGAGAAGATGTCCTATGTTCAAGCCGCCAAGGAGCTTCCTTTCCTTTCTCACGAGGAAGTCGAGCGCGAGGCTATTCGACTTGGCCTCGTTGACGAGTCAAGCCGCGGTGGAGTTTTGGAGAAGCCAAATGAGGAGAGCGGCACAGTCCGCGACGACTCTGGCTTTAACTCTGAGAAGTCTTAGATTTGCTCATGAGATTTGTTTCATATAGAAACGTTTGTGTTAGAACACATTTTGGATACCCTTATTTTTACTTTAGAGTCATAAAGACTTGGAGCCATTTGGCATTATAGAGTTATAGATCAATAGACCACTATAACGAACATCAAACTTAACCCATTACCTTGACGACTTACACCGTGATCTCCGCATCAAATCTCCAATTTACAACGTGTGGCGAAAACTCTTTCCCCGACATTTCCCCCCAAAGCCCCCTTTGGAGATTAGATTACTCTTACCTAAACCCCGTGGAGACGAACATGACGATCCCTTCCTTTCAACATAATTAAAATTGGAGAAGCGCCCGGAGGAGTCCTCCGCGTTTACCCCCAGGAACCACTTGTTTTTGTTTTTGTGGAGTTGGTCTCAGGCAGCTATTTCCTTTGACTTTGAAGCAGTGGTAGGGATGAAATATGGTTGGTTGATTGGTTTACATGCTCATCGGCGGATGTCCCGTTTTGGAAAGCCGAGAACTGAATCATTGCACTGCATTCAGTATGAACAGTCTGTTTGGGAGGAATCGTATCGTGGACTTTTTGTTATCAAGACCCATAATTGGCGTATCTTGCATTTCTTACCTGCCCCGTGGGGATATGGTTGCGGGATTGCTGTTAAAACGCGGAGATAAGCATACATGAGCGTTGGAAGCGAGTATGAGAATGACATCAGTGATTTTGAGGGGAGAGCTCTGAAGAGTACGGAAATATGCGACAACTAAGTCGTATAAATAATTTTTCACGACTTGCACAATCAGAGATAAGTGATACTGAGACTTAGGGTGCAGATATTTACATCTCTGCCTACCCTAAGCAAGAATTTGCAGAGTCGAGTTGTGTCAATGAATAAGATATCAAAAAGAGAACATCAGTCCAGAGGTTCTGGTCCTTTGCGCCTTGGTATATTTCTTTCACATTTTAGAGGAAATCTGGTCAGCACCATGTTCTACGTGCATGAGTACTCAAAAAATATTTGCGCAAGGGTTGAGGTGAAATCTCGAGGGTTTAAACATTGTAGAAGCTCATACCCGTAATTTAGTTATCGCCTCTGTTGAAAAGATTGAAGATGAACGTGCCGAATGCAAGAGGCTATATAGGTGTAAGAGGGTTTGTATTGGCCGGGTTGAGCCCTCGTGTTGGTGTAAGTGATATCGTGAGGTGAGCGCCACAAAGCGGGTCGATTTCTCGAGGGAGATTTTTGTTCAATAGGTTCAGCCATATCGATAATAAGGATCTTCAGCCTCCAGGGAGCAAACGAGCTTCTAACCCTAGGCTATGTTATCACAACTAACTAGTTCAATAGCCCCCAAGATTGAGATATTCTAAGACTCAAGGTTCCTAGTGTAAATATCTACACTATATGTGCTTAAAAAGGCCATATGCTACGGAACCAGCTTTTCTGAGGAACCTCGTAGATCATCCACCCAGTGATAGGCTTTATTCCCGATTTCTTCTCATCTACCTCCTCGTTATGTCCTCCGTCTTCATCAGGATCCAACGCAGGGACATAACCTTGAGGACCTGGGACAACTTGCATACCAACAGATCCAGCTTTCATCTTGCAATTATGCAAAGTACCATTATCGTCAATTTTAACCGGAACGGTGACGTATCCACGGGGAATTGTCTTCGTATCGATAAAGGGATACATCAATCCCCCAAGGCTACAGTTTTCTCGACTGGGGGGCTGAACCTTTCCTTCGTCGTCCCAGTAGCAAAATGCAGTGATCCAGCCTGTCATCGTGCTGGAACCCGACATGCACTGCATATCGGCAATTTGATTCCAGAATGCATGGACTTCTGGGTCGGTTGGTTGAGCGAACGAGAGAATCATGTTTTGAAGAATTGGTCGCAGGAGCTTGGCGAACTGAGTCGGTTCCTCGCCCATGCCATCCAGTTTATCAAGTCTTTTGAGAATGTCTTCGTAGTCGGTTACTTCTCCGAGCAGTGTCACCGAAGGGATACCGCACGTCAAAGTTACTTCGTAAGAGAAGTATCTCTGCAGTGCGCCCATTAGAAGCACAGAACCAACAATCCGATCACTATCGGTAGTCGTCGAGAACGACGGAAGAACCCATTCTCGGAAAGAAGGGTCCTTGATATTCTTGGCAATCTCGAGCGACATCATCTGAGAGAGTTTTCCGTAATCAGCAGTATGCAAAGTCCCGAAATCGAGAACCTGAAGCTTTATCTGGCCACCATGGCTAACGAAGTAATTCCGCATCTTTTCGGAGTTGGCGTTGATGTAGGCGCCGAGTTGAGTGATGATAGCAAACCAGATATCCTCGGGGCGAATGGTAAGATGATGGTGGTCGCTGTACGCGTGGAACGCCGACCAGACAAGACCATTCCTCGAGAGCATGACGTGATTTTCTTCAAGAGATCCGTTGAATGAGAACGAGCCCTGGATGATGTCTTTGGGTCCGTCCGCTTCTTGGGAACCAGCTCCCGGTAGGAGCTGGGAAGTGTTTTCAACTCTTGGATCGGGATGATGCCAGGAATTGACTCTACTATTGGGAATGGCGACTGTGACAGGCATTTTGGTTGTATCAAGATGCTTTGATTGACAAATAAGTGTTTGGATTATGATGAAGAAATTGATTTGTAGTGTAGATTGCCAGCATCATTCTTTTATAGGTAGAATGGTTTGTGATGAGGTTGGGGGGGGGGGTTGAGAGAAGCTCCAGCCCGTCGATGACAATTGTCTATCTGGCTACGGAAATCGCCGAATTACCGCGAGTAGAAGTGTGATACTCGTCATCAGTTGATGAAATAGCTGCACGTAATGGGGTGTGCGGATGCTTCAGGCAACCGCCTTGGCTGGGGCACAGCACTTGTATCAATATGGTTTGCCTAATTACCCAGCTTCTACAACCTATCGGTCCATTAATTGGAATACTATTCTCCTCCACGATGGCAAGACCTGACTCGTGGATAAGAATAACTCGGAATCGTGGGTATAGCGTGGGATGATACCTTGGCGAGGGGTTAGGACTATTAGCTGCGACTGACCAAGTTCTGACGAGTCACCAGAAACAAGGTTGCTTCTATATTCCATTAGATTCATTTATCCTAAGCTTAGCCCTTATATCGCGCAGACCGGGTCTTCAGATCATAGTGCAACACGTCAGCAGATTCGTTCTTCGTATGCCCATGTCGACGTTGGGCCTTAGGCTACCAGAGAGGAAAGTAATCATTGACCTGGTATCTAGACCCTCTTCTATTATAGACCATACAACTCATGTACTACATTCCCTTCTTCAGGAAGAACCCAGCAAGCGTTGCTATATGTTCCAACTGTTCAAGCGAAACGCCCTCACTCCTCGACAACTTCTCCGCAACACCACTAAACGTATGCCAAACCTCTATATACTTATTATTCGTGTTCTGATTAGTCCCAATCCAATTCAGCGCATAAGCCATCTGTGTACGACTCCGTATCTTCTTCAAATCCTCTTCGTCAATGGAGATATGGCTGTAGTTAATAGCAACCTTTGGCTCCAACTTTCTATACTCTCTGGTGTACAGGGCTCCTAATCTCACGCACTCGATCACAAGCGCTGCTAGGCCCGCTGCTAGACCGTTGGCGACGGAACTACCAGAGTGAGCGTCGAACTTTTCTAGCTGAGTTTTGGTTTCGTTGCTGTCGATTACAACTTCGTGGCCGGGGAAGATGAAATCTACGGTTTGGGAGTCGCCGACTGTGTCGACTATATTGCCGGTTGCTTTCGCGGCGCCGATTCTGAAGCAGTGATGACTGCTTGCGTGGGGATAGCTGACGTCTGCGGACTGTCCTTGGTCGCTGGCTGCGCAGAATATGAGACAGCCGTGTTTGCCGATGGCGTTGAAGATTGCGGTGTCGAACTGGCTTCTTAGTGGTTCTTCAGGGGGTTTGATGGTCCATGACATGCAGATGATCTGGGATCTCTCTTGGCAGCGTAGTTGATAGCCTAGCTCGTTAGAATCTTGAGCCAAAATCACCGAGGAAGTCTCTCACCTTTACGGCACTGTCGGGCTTGATCTGAAGCTTCTTGGAATTTCCTGACCAGAAAGTCTGTAGCTTTATAACATGGATAATAGCACTAGGGCAGATCTTATGAATAAGCCTGGCCATTAATGTCCCATGGCCGGAGGGTGAACTCCAGTATGGCGGTACACGTGGTGTCGAGCCTCCTGTTTGGTGATCAAAGCTCTGGCCTAGAAAAGTGCGATCTCTGGTGTCGTTAAGATCAGGGTGCATGATATCAACGCCATCATCGATCAGCGCCACTTCGACCGGTGGCAGAGAGGGATTATTGCCCCTCAGAGCCTTGATTTGTTTGAAGCGTTTTGAGAAGCTCGTCATGCATTCCATCCACTTGTGGGGATCGATTGAACGTTGCAGTGGCTGAGGTCTTGCGTCGGGGACTTGGACTTGTGCCATGCGCACGCCACCGCCTGTTTTGGGGGGTATTACCTGGGGTTTGGATCTTCCTTCGGGCCAGGAGTCATGTAATCGTTTCTCAAAAGCGTTGAGGTTCTCAATGGTTCGTTCGCGAGACTCGAGGCCCTAAGGGATCATGTTAGTGGTAGGACGCCAGGACTCATGGGTATAGACGCACTTCATGCTGGAACAAGTGAATGACTTCCAGCGTAGGTATAGATGCTAGACCTTCCTTCTCGGACCACGCTCTGAGAGTCGAGTTGCTGCCACTCCATTGGAGATGAACTTCGCGTAGATGAGTTCCGATCTTGCGAAGGGTGAGTGCATCGAGATCAAGACGTCTCCAGTCAAGAATTTCAACACCCTACAATATCTCAGTAATTGGCAATCACCAGGAAACCCTAAGCTTACAAGATCCTTCAAACACTCTTCGATAGCTTCGTCACTATGGGAAGGCTTTTCCATATCTTCTACAACAACCTGTTCCGTTAACCTTACGAGGATTTAAGTAGGTTCTCAAGTATCTCACCTTGATGATTCGCGTGACAGACTTTCCTCTTAGCCAGTCAAAAAAGAATGCCATATCCTGGTTCTGTCAGCGACCAAGTATCTCTCATAGCCAGTCTTCCTCACCTTTCTCCCTTGATGTCTCACATCAGGCTGTTCTCTACCTCCCTTGAGTCGAACTCTCGGAAATCCAACGTACTGTAGTGCTGTGTCAAACTGCAAATGCCCGAAATACTTCTTAAAGTCATCTTGGCTAACTGTGTTGGGTGGTCCAAAGTCAAACCAAAACTCTTTATCTGGATCATCTGGTAATCGTAAGCTATCCGCTGCTTTCTCTGGACTTAGGTTCCGCAGAGTCTCGAGTTTTAGTAGATTGCTGATTGTCCTCGCTGCATCTTCCATCTCCTTCTCCTTCGACCCAGGCTTTTGTACTACCTCTGGCCGAGTTACTGTTCCTGTTTTGACTCGAGTTATCGGCGTCAGGGACGGAGATTGCACTGGAGTTGTAGCGCCTTGTGGAGTTGCGGCAATCGAACCTCTTCGCTTCACGCCTGGCGGAGGACCCATGCTTGTCTTTTCCGAGCCCGACTTTTCTGTCCTCGTTAAGACTCTCTTTGCATCCTTCTTGGGATCTACGCCTCTTTCAAGTTTGTACCCTACTCTCTTTGGGGCTGCTGCTGTGGGCTCTTGGACGGCTAGATCCTGAGCACGTCTTCGTCGACTCTCCAGGAACTTCTTCCGGGTATGGTGATGGTATTGGTAGACTGATAGAGTGCGATTGAAGTCATCTGGATCTTGAATAGATTCTTCCAAGACGTCAGGACATGAGCGTAGGATCTCCTTGACCACTTCGACTTGACTGTTGCAACAGCACTCATACTCAACTGCACGGTGAAGAGCGGTGCGGCGCTTAGTGTCCCGTACAAAGAACATGTCTCTAGGAACAAAGCCGCATATCTTGGTAAAGAACTCTGTTCTCTTGACTCCATTGTCAAAGATACAAGTCGCAGCGGCATGTAAGCAAGTAGTCTCACTGTTCTCGTCCCTGTTCTCATATCTTTTCTGCAACAGAGCATTATACTCTTGGCACGTAGTATCCTTAATCTTCAAGCATACCGACCAACCAAACAGCGAGTTATTAGCCAGCAGCGCGCTGGTCAGAGGAATGCGCTTGTTGTTATCCGGCGACCAGAGTAAGTGCGCTGGGAGTTTGCGAATGGCTCGCCACATCAGCCATTGGAGGTTGACGGGCGGTTTGTGAATTCTGTGGTCGTAGTCTGCGAGAAAGTGAAGAAAGTTCTTCCCTTCCTCGGTTGTGTTGTGCCATTCACTAAACCTGTCGTTGACGAATTTGAGCTGTTGGCTTGCTTTGTCGCTTGATTCATATGATTGTAGGTTATTAGATAGTATTCGTGCCTCTTCGACATGACGCTCAAATTTGGCTTTGACGGGATCTTCGTCTAGTAGTGTTACAGACGCAGCTGGGAACTCATCCTCGTCGAGGTAAACCTCGTCGTCATCTTCCTCATGCGCTTGAGAGAACCCATTGGTGGCTTCATCGCTGTGATTCATAGTGACTCAACATTCACAGAATGGTATGCAATTGGAAGATGGGAATGAATGAGAAGGTTGATTACGTGCATAAGTTAGAGCTGGTTTGTCAACTGAACAGGCCTGAGCCGCTTGACAACAGGGGTTATCAGCCTCCTCTTGGGGGCATCCACCTAATTTCTGGTTATTGGCTCCCGAACCGCCCAAATCCCTCCATGGTCAGCATGTGCCACTCGCTGCGGGGCGTATGACCTTGGTGCTTGGTACCCTTGCAGGTGTCCAGATCGAAGACCCTTGCAAGCGAGAGTAAGGTTTCGTTGGAAGATAAAGGTTTGGATTATCGCATAATGAATCAGGCCCTCAAAGCAACGGCTCAGAGTATATATCAGAAGCTTGATAGCGATGACAACCTCACAGGATTATGAACAGACAGATGAGCCGCTCTTGGTCGTCGAGACACCGTTGGAGCACCAGGTCATCGGCGAAGATGACACTGTACGAACTGAAAATGCCTCGATGAGCGATTGGGAGAGACGCAACATCATTGAACGAACCAGCGGCAGCATCCATACTCGCGTTGAGCTGCTCTCAGTCATTCATGGATCATACAACGAAGGAGGAGACAAAGCCACGCTGATGGTCTTCCGTTTCCGCTTTGACCCTCAGAAGAGCTCACGAAGAGTCATCCGAGCCAAAGTTGAAATCGAGTTCTCTGCCACAGACGATTCATATCTAGAGGTAGATGCCATCGCGCCCGAGGAACGCTGGACAGTGATACCGACCACCGACACCGAGACGACAACACGCAGCGGCCAGTTGAACCTGGGTGCTTCAGGCGTACCATTCCTCGAGGCCGGTGCTACAGCAAGTCTCGAAAGATCGTACAGCAGGGATGTCACCGGTGCGACCACCATCACAGGCAGCATAAACCTCAGTACGGAGAAGAACTCGGGTGATTCTACAGTGGCAGTGTGGAATCTGCAGGAGAACGAGCGCCGTAAGACGGGCGTGCCGGATTCAGTAACGACTGCGGTTCTTGTGCGACGAGCTGGAGATGAGCGTTTTAACGCTGAGGTTACGCTGCAGGCTGACGTTGACTGGGTCACTGGGTGGGAACGCAGGCTTTCAAAGATTCCATTGGATGATCCGATTCTTTTCAATCCTAGAGAGACAGGGGGGCCTGGCAAGAAGGGGAGGTCTTACGGTGCCAAAGACTTGGCGAGTGTTGATTTGAACGAATTGTGTAAAGTGAGAATGGCAGTTGAGGCTCCGTTTGCTGTTAAATAAGACTCTGGAATTGAGATTTGGTGATAGATTTAGTCAGTCTGTGGGAGTAATCATTCTATCAACCCATTACTCGTAGCCTCACTGAGTCACAGACCATCGCGAGTTGGCCCGTGCCAGCTGAAAGGCCTAGGGTAGGGATATGCATGTAAGATACAGGGATCATGGGGATGTCTGCGCCTCGCAAACTAGTCACACTGATTATTTGCAGCGCCGCCTGGTAGTATGACCGTGCCTAGTGTGCCTCCCCCTCTTTGGAAGGACAATCTCTTGTTCAATCTTTGCGAGGCTCTCGCAGTAGGCTTTGACTGCCCAGCGATACTCGATTTGTGTTATCGGCCAGAAGCCTGACCTCAACCAGCAGAGCTGGACGCTCTGTTTCTGTTGTGACCATGGTCGAGATAGTGGTTCCCGAGGCGGAGAAACCCATTTTGAAGATCCCCACAGCAGTGGATGAGAGCGGTTACCGGCAGTATCAGAAGTGCAAGTCACCTGGGGAAGTCTCATTGTGTGTAGTATATACTGACAGCTTTGCAAAGCCGGTTTGAACGTAATCCAAGATGGAGAACAGGAACCGAGCCATAATGATGCTTCAAATCATGAGACCCCAGTTGTTCCTTTTGAGTGAGTACTGGTAATCAGGTTCCTGAATAGTACTGATTATATGGCTCTCTAGTGTCGTTCTTATTCACGGAATCTATGGTTCAAGTCCAGATTCGTGGACAACGGGATCTGACTCAATATGGATCAACAAAGCCCTTGCTGGTGCATCAGAGAACAAAGGACGATTAATGTCCTACGGCTATCACACAGATATCGAGAATGGGAGATATTACACACCATGCGGTGTTTATCATGAGGCAGAAGCATTATTAGAAGCTCTCCGAAAGCTTCGGACATCCGAGATCACGGTTTGTCATCTTGATTCCCTTTCCTGACGCTACTGACTCATGTCTCGAAGGAGGCTAGACGACCGATACATTTCTTTTCTCACGATGTTGGAGGGACTATAGTGAAGGCGGTAAGATCACTTACGGAGTGGCTTGGGCGAGAAGTGCAGCTAATCGATGTAGGCGCTGGCGATGGCTACAGATGACCAAGATAAGTATGCCGATATCTTGCATTGCACACGTGCTATGGTGAGAAATTAGGATGAAGTTTACTCTCGGGTTGCGCTGACTGACCGATGATAGTATTTCTTCGGCTATCCTCACAGACATTCCTCCGTTGGCCTCTTGGAAGAGGCTGTGCTGCGATTGACGGCCCAGAAACAACAAAAATGGTCTGGTCATATGGTTGGGTACGCCAAAAGCCTCACAGACACGATTATCAAAGTGAATGATGCGTTCCTTGGGACCCAGATGCTTACTCAGGCCAACTTCATCAACGTGGTTTCTAATCTCCACTTGGACCTATCACAACAAGTTCGTTTACCAATACTTTGCAGTATCTGGAGATTCTTAAAGCTACTGGTTTGCTAATACACTGTAAAAGGTCTTTCCTCTCTGCATGTCCACTACGGCCACTCCGTTTGAGCGAGTGGTGAAAATGGACAAGTCGAACTCTGATTTGATCCTGGCCGGAGAAGACGGGTTCCATCCCGTGAACGATATCCCGGACACAGACTGGCTTAGTAGGTTATTCATTGATCACAGGATAATAACTAATACCACTCTCAGTGGGAAGCTTTACGGGCGAACAGCACGTTGCTCTTCGTATGATCATCAACCAAGCGTCGCCAGTACAACCATATCAAAATGTTGATAATAACTGGCAAAACTCCGACCTCTTAGATTTACCGAAGCGGAAAGAAACGTTAATAATGCACATGAGATGCTCTTCTGGTGCTGAAGCAGCATCCGAGAACGCCAGCTTCTTTCTGGACAAGAACAAAAGCGGCACGTTCCATCCATTACTTTATATGAAGTTCGATGCTCGTGATACTAGATTCAACAATTGCGACGCCATGATGCGGACATTCCTCGCCCGTATTGTGTGCAATAGACTACAGACTGAGAGTGTCGCGTCGAGGTCGATGGATGGTCTTATTCGTGCCGGAGCTTTACACCGAAACAACCTGTCTGAGGAGCTGGAGACTCTGCGGTCTGCAAATGGTAAGCAAAAGTCAAGCCAAATGATTACAGAGCTGATTTATATACAGATATGAAGTCGGCTATTTACGTGCTGGGGTGCTTTGACGAGTGTGATGCGTCTTCAATATGGTTTCTCACTGCGATGCACAAACTTCTGCTCAGGAAAGAGCAGCGTATCAAGATATTGGTGGTGACAACAAAAGGAACTCACGGAGACGGCCTCATCGCCTCTGCTCTATCTGGGTTTCCTCTAGAATATGTCAGAAGCATCGATTACCATCCCGAGGAGCCTAGTCCTTTTCCTGTTGACACAGAAGCATCGAAACTCACGAATAAACTCGGGGAGAGTGTTGGGACATGCATACATCGAGATGTTCAACTTATACTCTCGAGCTGTGCAGGTGATCATGATCTATGCGAACTGGTCCTTGAATGGCTCGGAGCAGGCACAGGGCAAACCGCACGTACTGAGAGGCTACTTGACAAGCCCCTCACCCCAACTATCGTATTTGCGGCAATACTACAAGATATTGCGGAGTCGCACCGGCCATGGGCCAAGATACTGCTTTCTTGGCTGCTCGCCTGCTACCGGCCACTGCGATATGACGAGCTCCGCCATGTCTCTAATATTGTTTGGCTTCAGCTAGAGAGGGATCCAATCACTGTATCTTCTCAGACGGATGTTTTACGCAGCTTCAACGGACTACTCACTTCTGTGAACGGCGAGATCCAATTCAAACATCCTGCCACCCGTGCGTGGCTCGAAAGTTGTCACTCAGCTGACGACGAAGACAAATGGTATGATATAGTCAGGACGAGCTGCCACGACAAGGTACTGCAAACCTGCATAGACTATATCCAACATGCTGCAAGGAATCTGCAAGGCTCGGTCCTGTCGCTTCCTTATGCTATTGAATTCTGGCATAAACACTGGCAGCGAGTCAAGACATCTGAGAAGCATGTGCAGGACTTATTTTGCAATGAGTCAGTGTTTCAGTTTTGGGCAAACTCACTTTTTGCTTTGCCCAATGCGCAGTTCAAGTCTCAGCCAAGTCCTTTACAGCCTCTCGCTGTCGCAGCTCACTTAGGCCTGACGACGGTTGTAGAGGCGCTCTTGAAAAGAAGCCACGATCAGGCCGAGCTACGCGGCCAGGCTCTGGTTGAAGCTTGCAGAACAGGCAATGTTGCTACCATTCGGCTTTTGATGCATTCATATTCAAATGGCCTGGACTTTGACGATGAGCATCTACACGAAGCTGCGAGAGTTGTCAGTCACTCTAGTAACGATGAAGCACTTGAGGAACTCGTCAGCGGAATACCCGAGCCTCCTAAAACGGATCCAGTGGCAGAAGAGTCTGAAGTGAGCCTCGAATTCACAGAGAGTCAAGAAATGATCGCTTCGCAGGGCGATTCCTCGGAAAAGTCGACAAAGCACGATCCCGAGGTTAAAAGCCTTCGCCCTCAAGAGCGTGTATCCGGCCCCCTTGATTGGCTTGTCATGCCCATGTACAGAGCTGCGAGGTCAGGATTGAATGGCGTTATAACTAGACTCCTCCAGCTGGGAGTATCCCCCAACCCCCCGAAAGGAATAACCCCCTATGGCAATAGCTACATATCCGCGGCAGCAGTCAACAACCGTGTGGCCAGCGCAAAACTACTTATCAACGCAGGAGCAAGTCCAACAGCAACAGACGACCAAGGATATACTCCGCTGCAAAAGGCTATCTGGTGGGCTTCTGGCGAGACAGTCGAGTTCCTACTTTCGCACGGCGCTTCTGTCAACGATCTAGACCAGGATAACTGCACGACCTTGGGGGCTGCTGCTATGTGGGGTTCCTTTCCAGCACTGGAGGCTATACTCTCTCGCAAGGACGAGGCTGACCGTATGGCGGATGATTCCGAATGGCACCCAGTGATTCAAGCAGTTGAATACGAGAATAAGAAGTGTCTGAAGCTTCTTCTCAGCCACGGCTTCAGCCCTAACATTATCACCTCTAAGGGCGAGACGGCGCTGAGACTAGCTATTCAGAACAAAAGGCTCGATCTCTGCAAGATGTTGCTAGAGAGCGATGCTGATCCGGATCTAACTCCTGATAAAGTCAATACGCCACTTATACAGGCAATTTCTGGGGAACAGTTGGATATAGTCAAGCTACTGATCGAGCACAAGGCCACAGTAGACAAGCGTGAGGCGCCACCAGATGACGGATGGTCACGCACACCCAGTAAGTATTTGATACGTCTTGAGAACTGCATTACTGACTTTTTACAGTGCATGTGGCCGTCGACTGGAACCGTCCCGAGATTGTCCAGTATCTCCTTGAGAAGGGAGCAGACCCCGATGCTCGAGACTCGGACGGAATCCCAGTGGTAGGCTCTGCAGTCAACAGCGGACATACAAACATGGTGCAGTGGCTAGTAGATGCAAAGGCAGACGTGAACGTCGTCTACACCCAAAACAAAATCACGCCGCTGCATGAAGCATATCCCTATCCCGAGATAGTTCGTATCCTCCTCGATCACGGCGCAGACATCAACAAGGGCAACGTAGAGTTGCGAACAGCACTGAACTTTGCGATACGCGTAAATAATCTCGCCCCAGTTCAGGTTCTTCTTGACGCCAAGACTAAGCCTGATATCAATTCAGCCACGATCTACGAGGACTTACGCATAGTGATACCTAGCGGGTACGTCGGGATTGTCGAGGCGATGCTCGAGGCCGGCGCTGACGTTAACAATGTCAATGAGAAGGGCGAATCGCTACTGGCGTATGCTATCAAGCTTAATGCATCTAGTCTTATGGTCAGCAAGATTCTCGAATACAATCCTGATCTGGACATGAGGGACAAGAAGGAGAATACAGCACTTCACTGCATCAGCAAATTTACAACCCTCGAGACGGTCCGACTTGTTGTTAACGCTGGTGGAAGGCTAGACGTGTTGAACTCTGATAAAGACACGCCGTTTATTGTTGCTATTGGGGCTCAGATGGATGATGTGTTCTTCTATATGCTGAAAAAGGAGCCCTCGCTACTGACACAACACTTTATAACGTCCCAGCAAAGGGTCACAGCGCTTCACGAGGCGTGTAGGTTTGGTTCGCTCGCTATGGTTCGATCACTGATAGACCACGACATGGACATCAATTCATGCTGCGAAGGGCTGTATGGAACACCCCTGATATCGGCAACACTCCGAAGTGATCTACTATCATCTCCCCTAGCTAGCGACATAATCGCTCTTCTCCTCGTGAACGGAGCAAACCCAAGGACTACAGGGGGTTTATTCCAATACCCTCTCATCTCAGCATGTCTGTCTTGCCCAGCAGATACCATCAAACTACTTCTCAACTCAGAAACCTCGCCCCAAGATCAGGACTCTTTGAATCGCAAGGCTGTACATCTGGCTTGCTATAATTCTCTCGCGGTTGTCAACCTCCTGGAGATTCCTGACTCGGACTTTGCGGTTAGGGATGTGGCTGGTCGAGTACCTTTACACTATGCTGTGATGACAGGGGATGTTGAGCTGGCAGAGGTAGTGCTAGAACGCTCTGAGAGGGTAGGTGTTGGGATCGATGTGAAGGACGATGATGGGTGGACACCACTGCTCTGGGCTGCTCGTGCAGCACGGATCTGGAATCGACAGCTTGAGGGCGAGGGTTCAACCAATGTTATGATCGCATTCCTCTTGAAGCATGGAGCTGATCCTAGTATCAAGGGGTGCGGTGTTGGCAGAGATTGGACAGTCTGTGAGGTGGCATACTATCACCACGCCGACTTGTAAGCAGCCCCTACTATTCACATTAACAAAAGCTAACATGTTCCAGCGTCGAAGATCTAATAGACCAGCCAAGTCACAGGAAGATCAGGTCGAGAAAACGGGGCAGTGCTCCAGAGTCTCACTACTGTGATTGTTGTTTGATCGAGTCTCATGGTATTTTCTTCGACTGTCAGATTTGCTTTGACTTCAGTCTTTGTTTTAAATGCTACAGGAACGCTGACAAGATACATCCTGAGCATTCGTCGTTTGTTCGATGTGGGAGTGAGTGGGTTGAAGATGATGTTGCCAAGGATGAGGATGTTCAGGAGATCAGTTTGGATGATGGTATTGGCGATCAGGATGTGCTGTTGGACCTTGAGGAAATACCCTACGAGGATTTTGATAGCGAGGTCTCAGAATAGACGTGTAGGCGATACCGAATTTGTGCAATGTATCCAAACTGAGCTCGACAAGAGTGTCCCGGATAGGACTCTTCGGCCTAAGCAGATTGGTCAGTCTTGTCAGGTAGCGTGCGCTGTAATGGTGAGCATACTGGCCAAACTCAGATCTATTCGTCTATCGTTTATAAGCTTGAAGATCTTCCTGTATCTGAAACTTCCTTCTGCAACCAATCTCTCCACCCAGCATCTTTAAGAATAAATCTGGCTCTCGCCTCAAGCCACTCCGTGTTTCCCCAGAATCCCCACGATGCTTGGAAGCGACACCAATCAACCAGAGCGCACTCCCAATGCCGAACAAGAGTATCCCAATCATAATCCAAGGGTTCCTTGTCAGAAGGTCGGCGGCTCAACAATATCTCATGATAGAGATACAATAAAGCCTTTTCACCCCGGTCCATGTCCATTTCTTCAGGGAGGGATGGACAGTCGGTTAGCATATCGAGAGGGACAGAGCATGTGAATAACTTGGCCAGATCGCAGACTCCCAGTCCGAGACCGACGTATTGAAAGTCGAAGAAGCAGACATCATCTCCCAACTCGGTAGTAAAGAGATTCTCAGACTTGACATCGCCATGAATCAACGTTTCGAAAGGTCGACCAGTCGGTGTGAGGAAGTCAGCTACCACTTCAGCAGTAGACTTATCGGATCCTTTAAAAGGCGCGCAAAAGGCATCTGACCACTCGGAGTATGTATCGCCAGCAAGGGACTTGTACTCTGTGCGTCGAGTCGCGAGATAAGTGTATCCCCCATTCAACCACAACTTGCTTCCCCCAGTTTGCCCCGCATCTCGTCGCTTGAACTCATCCAGAGGAGGGAGGAGGTACTCGTCCAAATTTGCGGGGAGAAATTTCCACGAGTTGCTGTGGAATCTGGCGAGCCATTCTAGAGCAGACTCAACTTGTCGCGGGTTCAGAACAGATCGCTTCCCTCCTTCTACAGGGAACTTGACTCTCAAATCGGTAAGAATTGTAGCAGTGAGGCCCCGTAATTCTCCATCTTCATTTTTCGACTTCCAGCTTGACGTCAGACAGTGAGCTACTGCGACGTCATCATCCAACTGCGGAGCAACATGTTCGTAGAAATACTGCTCAACGTCGTAACTCAGTATCTTTCGCAGATGACCTTCATCCGTGGGACCAGGCGGCGGCGATATAAGCTTGAGAATCAGGAAGAACGTATTGTTTGACTCGGCTGCATGCAGGTACTTGCGCACTCTGCCAGCAGTTTCAGCGTCCTTTGGTTTTGCGGTGAGTGCGCAGATATGGCCGTATCCTGCCCACAGCGACTGAATCTCTTGGAATGATGTGATCTTCAAGCCTATAGGCTCTAAGAGAACCTCGGCGGCACGTCGGGAGCTTGTGTCTGCCATTTTGAGTTTGATGTGAGGTTATCGCGAAGTTAGAGTTAATCAGCTACGCTACGTCATTGAAGCTCAGCTCATCGGCTCGGATTATCATCTCGGAGTGGGGCGGCTGAACCTGGAGGCCTCGGTTCGATGGCAAAGTTGCGTTGAAATTGCAGTCGAGGCGAATCCTCTGCAAGAGGATTGCAATCGTAAAAACACCTACTCAATCGAGCGATATACACGAGGAGGGGTTACCATAGCCTCAGTGATCCCTGTTCTGATACAGAGGATGCCTAGCGAAATGATAGGGCTGAATAGCGACAACTTGCCAAGATCCCGCAAAGGCATGGCGGTGAACATCGGGGAATAGATAATTGATTGACGTAGGCTATGCACACTAGTTGAGCAGCTATTCATAAGGTCCCTATAACACTCCTTCTGAATGGACAATAGATAGCCACGTCGACGAACTTGGTCAGACTAAGACGGCCATCGCAGAGACGGGCTACCTCAATTCCATCATTTTGAGGATCAATTCCCCCTTTGATACCACGCCTCTTTTGAAATACCATAACGGGATGGTAGTGGCTGCGGAAAACAAGCATAATCTGCCACCAAACAAGCTTGTTAGACGAGATGATTCACTCGCTTACCCCTGTTCCCCAGGGCTGAGTTGTAAGCAAGGGTTGCCAGTGGCGTTGCAGGGGAATGTCACTGATTATTGGACGACGTGGTTCCTGAAGGATCTCGAGATTGAATTAGGTTAAGGATAAATATTCAGCTCATTTCCCGATTTTCAGGAGAGTCAATTCTCTCAACCATACATACATACAACACTATGCGGACGTCAATTACTATCAGTCTGTTGCCTGTCGCGCCTTACCTGGTTGATGCGGCAAAAAGCACCACTAAATACTCAACTGAAACTGTTTTCCTTCCCCAGAGAAAGACTGGCAGTGCAACAAATATATACGCCTCCCTTATTACGGAAACAGGCTCAAAGACCGAATATCTCCTCGCTTGTCAGACAAACTTCGGCACTTCATACTCTTGCGATGGAGACTTTCACGGTATTACAGTCACTTACGAAGAGTCGAGCATGAATCTTGCTGTTAGCTCAACAACATACGATTGCTCCCTGGGTTCTGGCTCAGCTGTCTGCGCAACCATTACCGCTACTCAGACCGAGTCCGTGAAGTCGCGAACCATTCCTTCGTCGGAGAGTGAACGCTGGATGACGCCTATCACTTTTGTTGATATTCAGAAGAGAAAGACCACGAGTACCAAATCAACAGCTTATAAAGCAACAGAGACAGCGAGCAACAAGCTTTGCAAGAGGAAGATACCCCATGGAAGCTCGGACTCTGGAGACAGTGGAAGTAGTGGTGATGACAGCAGTGGTTCTAGCAGCGGGTCCAAGAGCGGTTCTGGATCTGCTGGCGATGATGATGACGATAGTGGCAGTTCGTCCGCGAGCCCTACGAAGAAGAAGAATAATGACGACGATGGATGTTCGGCAGGGTCTATCACTTCTTGGAGCTGGGGGGTTATGGCTGTTGGGCTGGGTGGCTTCCTTGGTATCAATCTGGTATAAGATGTACAAATCAATGCGCTCGTTTTGGTAACTTCACTTGAACATATTTCTAGTAATAACATATTCACTGCATTGCCGCGGGACTTTTGAACGTGGTGCCTGAATGGGATTGCACTAGTAACCCGTGCACTGTCTAGTGTATACGCGCTGTCCAACAGTTTTTCTTGTATAGAGAGACGCTAGATGAATCGGATACATCTCATGACGATCGTGTCAAAGTCGGTGTCCAAGCCTTTAGCTCCGATGCTCACTGATCAACGCTCACAATCCATCCAATACCGATTTACCAGTAACTAACGCAGCACTCACGCTACATAACAGCACAACAATCGATCTGTGTAAACGTCCGCCTCGGTGCCAGCAGCGGCGGCGGCCTTCTCGCCGGAACCCCAAATTGCGCAATACGCACCGGATAGTCCGGATTTCTCCTCAAAAAGTCCAGCGGATCATACATCGGCTTTGTCACCATGGCCAACACCTCCTTATAGTAATTTAAAAGCGGCACGAACTGTTTCGTGTGCGTGAAACATCGTTTCTTGCATCTAGCTGCTGGGTACGCGTCCACATTGCACTTTGTTTGCACCCCATTTCGCGTTCGTTTGCTGAACCAGAACTTCTGGTTGTACCTCCAGAAGTCAATGATATGCACCTGGAAGTTGTACAGATCATATGCTGCAAGGCTTTCGTAGGTCCAGCGCGGTTGCCAGGGACTGTCGGGGCCTTCAGCTGTGGGACCGTAGGGATGGGGAACTGTAGAGGCGAGACTTAGATCGATGAGGATGCCGTCGATGTACTGGTCTGGTTTCAAGTCGCGAATCACGATTCCCAGGAAGTGAAGTTTGTGAAGGTCTTTGAGCATTCTGGCGAAGTACTTCACCGCTACCATCTGGTCATACATATCGCGTTGCTTCGAGTTGTGATACGGAGTCATCTCGACCCAGTCTTTGACAATACCGTAGAGCATCCCAGGCGGACATCCGTTTAATTTATGGGCACCTGCAGCCGCGAGTTTTATTCGAATCTGTCTTGCTGTGAGAGAAACCCATCCATAGACTTTGACAGCGATGGACTCGGCCTTCTGCTCTTTCAGTCTACCGAAAGCTCGACACTCATTCTCAAAGGGTGAGAAGTGCCAGTCAGTGCCATCACAGCAGCTCCATGATCCTTTGTGGCCGTATATATCTCTGGTGTTGATATCCTCTTGAGGAGTGGTGAACTGGGAGCTATTAGAATGATGTATTGAGGGTGTTGATAGCGACTTACGAATTTTATGGCGTAGAAATGGCGGCCGATCCGTGCCTTTACGACGATCCCGTGGGCGGAGTCGACGTCGAGGGCTTTGAGGAATATGACGTTAGGGTCCATTAGATTGCTATCGAAGGGATGGAGCTTTGGCCCTATGTCTTGGGGCAGCCAAGGCTTCTGTTTCGCCCAGTTCTTCGCCATGGCTTATGGCATGGAGGTGAGTGTAAGATAGTTGGCTAGCGTGTTGGACGCCGTGAAAGTGAGGGTATTGAGCATAGCAAGGGGATTTGTAGGGGAATTTTGAGACTGATCTTGTGGAGGGCATTCAACTGTAATTTAACCGAGTATCAAAATTTTAAGGATGGTTCTTTATCTGAGCGACCGGTCGGGAATTTTCATGCTAAGGCGAAGACCTGTACAATAGTTCTCGCGATATCCTAAAGACATAATCCAGCTTTCGAGGGCAGCGACATTGGCGATATCTTCCCAAACAATTTCAAGAGCAATAATCTCATATATTCTATAGCTCAGAGATTTCGAGACCGGCCTCAAGATGCACTGCTTGACGATTGCGCTCAAGGTGCTTAAGCTCAAACCGTCGAGCCAATTTATAACGCCACCAAGCACATCCGCACGTTGTGACATAAAGTTCTCTATCAAGCTCAGATGGTGACACATGTCCACAAATATCAATTATCATTCGGTAGGCGAAAAGCCTTCCATCTGATCAGATCCTTATCCGAGGAGCTGGGGACGGCACTAAGTTTCATTGATAGGGCTGATCTCACCTTTCTAGAACACTACGCAAAACTTCGATTGGCTGTCACTCCCTCAAAAAAGTCTGCAATGACGCAAGTAAGCAAGGGCTGCGCCGCTCAGCAGGCACGTGCCATCTAACGCGACAAAAAGATAAGCAAAATATCTTACTCAAGCGTCATCCGTTAACTTCACCTTACTGACTCATTCACAAATCCCAAGCAACTCAAAATGTCAGAAGCCGTATACTCAACGCCAGAGTGGTATCTCAAAGCCCAGGATCAGGATGTCAGCAGTGATATAGGCCGCTTGACTATTTATCATCTCGGGTTCAAGCAGGCCGCAGAGGGGAAATTAATATTCCCGCCTCTTGACTTCTCGACGCAACCTCGAGCTATACTCGATGTCGGAACTGCGGATGGTCTCTGGATGCGCGATGTCCAGTCCTCGATTGCTAAGCCAGTTCAAGGTGAGCATAGCTTTATCGGCACTGATATCAACACGTCTTTCTTCCCAAATACAACTACGCAAGGTATCAGCTATGTAAAACAAGATATCAAGGATCCTCCACCGGAATCATGGCACGAGTCTTTTGATCTCATCAACATGCGCATGATTCTCATCGCCGCTGGTTCCAGCTCAGCTCAACGCGCCGTGGTGAATGACCACATCAAACTTCTCAAACCAGGTGGATGGATCCAAATCGGTGACTGCGATCGTGTCTGTCCAACTCCAGAGACTGAGAACCCGAGATATCACGACATGTTTGCTTGTATCAGAGCTGTTTGTCAAGCCTCAGGTCTAGATCCCCTCGAGGCTCCCAAGATGAAGTCTTGGCTAGCTGAAGCTGGTCTGGAGGATATACATGAGATGACTGCTATGAGAGCGGTCGGTAAGAGAAATGTGGACGAGGAGTTGGGAAGATTGGGGGTTGGAGCGGATTTGATCATCGCAAAGGGGTTTGCGGCGGGTGCTAAGGGTAAGTCTGGAAACAATTAGAGAGGTCACAACTAATGGTGATAGGTCTGAGTCCTTCTTTGAAGCCGTTGTCGGATGAGAAGCTGGATAGCCTTGTGCAAGATCTAGAGACAGAGCTGAAGGATATAGGGGCTTACTTTCCCATGCGTTTTATTTGGGGCCGAAAACCGCTGTGAAAATGGATTAGATCAAACAGTTGCTGCTGGAGTGCAGCTGATGTGGATGACGGTATATATTACTTTTGTCAGATGTCTCTTTATTGTCAAGTGGTGGTGTCTGTCTTGGCTAGTCAATATCCAGACCCCTGAGAAGGAGCAGCACAATAAGAACGAATTACTCCGGCCATTACAATACACAGCAGTCTTGGTCATTCAGTAAGCTAACCTGGAGGGAGAGCCGAAGTGTTGTACGCAGCGAACTCTTCGTAAAAGGTGAAATCTTGGCTCACTTAGTTTCTAAGACGAAAAGTCATCGAAATCCTACACGATTCTATTGGGTCTGGGCTTTGGTTTCGTGAGTCATGTCAGTTCAATCATGAATTCTCCAACCTTAACCAGGTGATCGGAACCAAACATCGATACGCTAGCGCAAAGGACCCACATGCATACCGACATTTCAACACCGTCAGTCAAATTTAGTGCATGATCCTCAGGCATATAGAAGCCCCCGAAACCTTCTAACGCCAACCTAACAGTGGACCCACGTGGGGACTCTAACTTATCAGCAAGATTTTTTTTTTCATTCACGATAGCTTCAAGTTCCGGGCTTAGACCTATTTCAAGATAGCGTCCCGCCACCCACTTTAATATTTTTCTCCTTCTCTTATCTTTCCTCCCTCCCCGGATTCCACTCCCTGTTCTACTCCACGATCTTTAATTACTGCAGACTGGGTCAAGATGAGCACCCTCGCGCTACCTTCGAGCAGCTTACCGCCTTTATTCACGCTCTCTAAACGCTCTGAGGCAGATGTTTTCAATGCGCTGCATTACTTGGCGGCTATTTACTGTCCTTTATCTTTTCCTTTTTCGAAGGAGTTGGGGGATGTGAAGCATGCTTTTGCTGAGGTGGATTCGGGATATACCTCCGGGAACGAAGATGACGAGGCGGAACTGACGCCTGCGACTATTCGGGCGGACGTCCATGAGAAATCTTTTTCTGAGCGCTGGTTAACGGGTTTTATCTCGCGCGTTGAAGGTTTGGAGATTTTCTCATCGGAGGAAGCGAGTCAGCGGGCGCTGGACCAGGCGGCGTATATTTTTGAGTCACTTTTCGCCAGTGCCTTGGATGAAGATGACCAGAACTCTCCGTTTTTGAGGGAGTTTTCGTTTGAGGCCAATGTCCCCGGCGTGGAGAAGAAGCAGATTTCTGTTCAACTGAACGACGGACTCGCTGGGACGAATGACACAGACTTTGAAGACGTTGGACTTCAAAGTTGGGGTGCCTCGATCGTCTTTTCGGATCTCATGTGTACAGATCCACAAAGATTCGGTCTGACAAATCTTGACCCTACCCAACATAATCGCATTATCGAGCTTGGTGCAGGCACCGGGCTCGTAAGCCTCGTCCTTGGAAAACTCATTCCCGCTCTGGGCATCTCCGACTCGAAAATCATCGCAACAGACTACCATCCAGCCGTTCTCTCCAACCTTGAGTCAAACATATCAATCAACTACACCTCCCCCTCCCCCGTGCAAGCATCACCCCTCGACTGGGCCGATTTCTCCAACACCGCCCCCTTCGACATCCCAGCAAGCATGCTCTTCGCCACAGACGTAGTATACGCCCCTGAGCACGCACGCTGGCTGCGTGATTGCGCAACACGACTTCTCTCAGATGATGGCATTTTCTGGTTGTTGGTTACGATACGACCGAATGGGAAGTTTGCGGGTATTGGGGATACTGTTGAGGCTGCTTTTGCGGAGAGGGATAGACTGCGTGGGAAGAATGGGAGGAGATTGGATATTTTGGAGAGGCAAAAGTTGGATAAGAGGAGCGGTGTTGGGAGGGGTGATGAGAGTCATTATGAGCTTTTTAGAATTGGTTGGGCATAGGGATTTCGTTTGCATGGGTTTGTATTAAGCGTGGGATGATAGAAGAAGATAGATTTCTGATAGATTTAGATATGGCATCATGGACATGATCATAGATTAGACGTCAACACAAATTCTACGGTTGACAATCACTGAGAATAATGAAAAAACATGCTATTGATTGTTTTGCTAGTCGAAAGCCGAATGTATACTGCTATGCGCTGGGTACATGGACTGATGTGAGAGCATCGAAGCTGTTGAATGTGAAGACAAGGCAGATACCCCAGATCAAGCGCAGGTAGCTATAATATTGGATTCATATGTGAAGACAGTACCTTGTCAAAAAAAGCATCACACAACCAACCAAAGATTTCATCCCGCTTCGTCTTCAGAATCATTATTTCATTCTGATCAGTCGACTTGCATATCCAAACGCACTCTCACTCAAACCCCTCAACCCCCCGACAATTACTCCCACAATGAACCGGCCAACAATCCGAGCACCCAGGATCTGGCTCATCATTCTCCTTGTGGACCTTACAGTCCGGCACCGTAGCCCTCACAAACTCATGGAGATGATGATCCGGACCTTCTTCCCTCCCAACTTCACAATCGCACAAGACGCTATCGTCTTCTCCAGCGCCTTCCATGTAATTAGCCATTGCCTGCTCATCGTTGACGTACGCGAAAGCAAAGATGAGCTTGAGAGAGTCTGGGTCGTAGTCTTTGTGAAGAATTGCGTTGTCGTAGAGTTTGTTTATGACACAGAATGTATCGCCGTGTTCGTGGAGATGGTCTAGTTCTGCCTTTGCGGCGGTGCCGGTGCGGACTTGAGGATGTCGTTGGAGAAATTCCTCGATGTTTTTTGACGGGGTCTTAGGCGCGTTTTCTTGAGAAGTCATAACTCAAAGATGCATTCAATATGGATTAAATTAACAAAATATTGCTGATTCACTTTTCGGACAATCATGAAAGTCAGCTTACCTTGGACGAGAGGTTGTTTAAATAGTTCTTGAGTCGCTGGCTCACGAGCCAATTGTACGCGCTGTCAAATCCCAGGCCGCGAATCTGGCGCTAATAACCCGGAATCTAGGTATGGCCTGGGGCTTAGCAGGGACGCTAAGAGCAGAGCCGCCCGCACGTTCGTTCAGCCAGGCAGCATGACGAGCTGTGCACTTTTTCACGGGGTGAAAAAATACCACGATTTAGAGGGACATAAATAAAGCGCTTACTTTCATGTCTCACCTTTCAAAGGAAGAAGATAAGTGCCAAATAAGATAATAACATTTAGCAAACTACGCGGTCGCCAGCTACTGTCACATTGATGTTATTCCTACCAAAACCAGATCCTCACAGTAGGATCGCCAAAGTGATCCTCCAGCATCTTGACAAAGGCTCCAACCACCTTCAACAATACAAACAGGTAATTCATAGCCCCCTCGCCAATCTTGACACTTAGATACGCTCAAACCAAGCCTGAATCATTCCCGACACGTCCGGAAGTCCATACCCATCCGTATCCATAAACACCTTATCCCCACTCCCAAAAACCCTCCACGCCAGAACCTCAAGCCCTTGGTCCTTCAAACCCTCAAAGTCAGGAACCGTGTATCCAAAGACAGGAAACTCAGCGAGACTCGGACCGGTGCGGAGCGTCGTTTCCTTTGTGATCTTGCCTCCAAACCGATCAGGCATCTTGGCCATTTCCTCGGTGGTGATGACGATAACTTCGATGTCACCGGGCTTTCTGAGGCGTGATTGCGCCATGGGGATGAGGGAGTAGGTGTTGAGGACGGGGTCGTGCTTCATGACGCGTATGGTGATGGATTCGTTGGTGGATGTTGCGGCGGCGCCGATGGCGTAGCGGAGAAACGAGCGGAGATAGATTGGGTTGGGCTTGGGGGAGGTGGAGGTAGTGGTTGAGATGTTGGAAGGCTCAGGGGCGGTGTGATCAGCCTCGGTCTGAAGAAGGGGGTGAGGCATGATGGTGATATGAATTGTTTACAACTGTTGTGATGAAGAGTGTTGGGTTTGCTATGATGGTAGATGTTGAGTTGTTTCTGAGATGGAGACGTCGGAGGTAGATGAAAGGTTTGAGTTGAGGCTGGGTTCTATGAATGAGCTTAGTTTCTTATGAGGGGAAATGCTAGAGCGAGTCGTGAAGTCAGAGTGTTCACTGTTCCGTTGTTGAGACACTGCGAGAAGAGGTTTCTGCCACTGTCATCGTGAACATGTATACCAAACGGGAATGTCCTCACTACCACTGAGAAGAACAGGAAAGAGGCTAGGCAACAATTGAATCATTACCAGCTACATACTAACACTGGCACCTCATCTCATCGTCAGCTTCACCTCTTGCCCATCCCCAATATACGTATCACACCACCTCCCAATCCTCTCAAGCATATCAAACCAATACCTCTGCTGTTCAATACCATGCCCCTCCCCCGGAAACTTGACAAACTCGTATTTCAACCCCCAGTGCCTTAACGCCCTCCTGAACCCCTCCGCCTGTGAAAACGGACATCGCTCATCTTTGTCACCGTGAAGAATCAGCATGGGCGGGATGACCATCTCCCCTGTCTCTTGCGTATGCTTCACTGCACTGGCCACTTCCCAGAGCGCACTGCCTTGCCGATTTCTTGTATCGTCGCGGTTGAGAGTCCAGATGGTATCACCACCCGCGAGTTCGATCTCATACGTTGAGCCGAGATCAGCTGTAAGCGCAAGACTTTCGATATCGCAGACTCCTGCTCCGGCGATAGCTGCGTTGAAGCGCCATCCCAGACCATGCAGACCATTGCGCACGCTGCACAGATACGTCAAAAGACCACCTTGACTCCATCCCCCAACAATCAACTTCTTCGAATCCGCAAAGCCCTTCTTGATAGCGTTATCAGTGGTAGCCACCACATCAGCGTAGTCATACTTCCCCTGCCCTCCCATACTGTACGAAGCAAACTTTTCTCCACGACCGCTTGAGCCGCGATATTGAGGGAGGAGAATGCCGTAGCCTTTTGAGAGGATGTATGGAGCCCAGTTGAAACAGGTTGTATCGAAGGTATCGGTGTCTCGAGATGTTGGACCGCCGTGAATGAGGACGAATGTTGGGAGGGGTTCAGTTGGGGTCTTGTCGGAGTCTGCCTTGGAAGTTGGGGTGAGGTACAGACCATCGAGTTCGACTTCATCGTCGGCGGAGCGACAGGTGAGAACTGTGCATGAACCGAGGGATTTGTCTGCAAGTGGCTTTCCATGATCTGAAACCTTGATCTTCTCCTTTCCCTTTTCGATGACGAAGATGTCGTAAGGAGTTCCAACATCTGATAGACTCGCTGCAAGAGTCGAAGTCCCTGTCTCTGGGTCGATGAAAACATCATACACCCACAACTCCTTCTTCTCATCGAACAGATCATCTCCTTCCAACTCACTGATAATATCAACAAGCCTAACCTGGCGGTTCACAAGGACTTTGCCACCAACAACATGAAGACCTCCAGCATCATCATCAATGCCACATGCAACCTTTGCGAACTCCCCAGTGTCGGCCTTGGGATCAGTCTTGTAGACAGCTCTTCCTCCAGAATCTTTATCAGCGGGCACACCTGTGATGAAATAGACCTGTCCATCTGGTGCCCAGGTAAGATCATACGGTTCATTCATGATCTTGCAAAGTTCAGTGACCTCGCCAGTCTCGACATCAACTGTTGAGATAGTCGTGCCCGTCAACATCGCCTCTTCGATATGAGGATTCTTAGTGCTCATGAAAGCAATCTTCTTGCCATCGGGACTCCAACAAAACTCGCCAACATGAGTCTCACCGCCAACGACAACCTTTGTCTCTTGAGATTCAACATCGACGAGCCTTAATCTTGCAAAATCCCATTTCTCGCCCCAGACTTCAGGATCAGGCTCATCCTTCTCACCCTTCTCCTTCTCCTCCTCTGGTTTCTCATCCGGCGAAACATACGCAATGGTCTTGCCATCAGGTGAAAACAGAAAACTCTCAATATCCTCCTCATTCTCAACATCAGTTATAGGTATCGCGTCACCACCATCCATTCTGAGCATGTAAATCGCCGAAGATTCGCCAACCTTCGCACGATCTGACAGAAAAGCAATTCTATTTCCATCAGGATGCCATTTTGGCTCTGTGTCATTGTAGAGACCGGACGTTAGTTGCCGAGAAGAGTTTGGTTCGGCGGATGATGCGATCCAGAGCATTGAGAGGGCATTTTTGCCTTTGCGGTGGCCACCGATGAGACTGGTGGAGTACAGGAGTTGTCGGCCGTTGGGGGAGAACTTGATGACTTTGGGGACTTGGAGATCGCAGAGGGTCTGGGCGAAGGCTTTGTCGAAGCCTGGGGATGTAGATTGGGTCATGATTGAGGGAGAGTGAATTGTGTGCTGAGAGCACAGTGAGGGGTTGTTTTGGGGTACTTAGGTTTCGAGAAGCTGCGTTCTGAGGCGAGAAGTATTGAAAGGCCGCAAGATTATGGTCCTAAATAGGATGTGTTCAATGTGAGATTTGGTGTTCAATTGAAGGAATCAATTCTCATTACATCATGAACGTGGCTTCATTAGCTTTCTGAGATGCAGTAAGAATTAACGTTGACTCACTGATCGACTCACTGTAGTAAGCGTAGATCAATCATCCGATTGGTTAGCGCGTACGCCGGTGGGATATCCACTGCGGCTTATGGACTGAACCGCTAAAACCATCGCGATGGAGAGATCAGACGTAGTTGAAGGACTCCGCTGCATCAGCCCTACAGACACGGTATGTGACTCACTTTTCTCATTTTCTTCTGATTACATGCATGGTATTTGAGTTATCGCAACACTTACTCGATTGGGTCGACCCGAGTCATAATGCAGCTTACATGCAGCGACAGTCGGATCATGTTCAAATGTTGTACTAGGACGGCAATCACCAATCCAGTCGATCTCTAGCCGAAAAGAACAAGGAGAACTCTAGTACAACCCGAAGAGAAGTTGGAGTTCCAGAGGCCATAAATGTCGCGTTGCAGCAAATGCCACAGGATCGACAAAGGGGTACACTGATGGCCAATTGGCTGTGCAGTTGGCACAGCACAGCCTTGTTGTCCCCCAAGAGGCCTCACAAATGCATTTCATTCAGCTGCATAACAAGGCTGCCCATGAGATCCATCATCCCGTCTCTTACATCTTGGCAACGAAAAAAATGGAAAAAGTCTGGTTCAAGCTCCGTCAAACTGATTATCCCCCTACCCCAGAGGACGCCATCCTCCGTGGCGACGGCGATGATTCCACTGCCCCTCTCTGTCTAGGCCACTTAATTTCCAACCTCAAAACCCTCGACTTCCCCCTCAACCATGGCTCAATCCTCCCCTTTCCACCACTCATGCGCCCCTTTCGCAGCAGTATCCTAAACTTCACATGGGATGATACCAGATTAAAGTCTCCGGGGACTAATCTCGCTGCGGGCGCGCCGATACTCGCAGCTGCAGGCGTCACAGCCAAGGCGAGTCTGCAGTTTGCGTTTATGAAGACTGTAGAGAGCCATGAGGAATATGATCGGTTGGATACCTATATAGTGCAGCCTACGAAGGGGTATATCAGGGATTGTCTGGAGCAAGACGAGCTGAAAGCCCATGTCAAGGGAAAAGTCTCGTGGTCGGTGTTTATGATCACAGGCATCAAAGTCGCCCGTGCGGGGAAGCGGGAAGCTCAAGAGGAGACCAACATTGCAGCCGATATTGGTCCAGAACTGTACGTCTTCCCTGAAGAACTCATAAAAGGAAGCTCTAGTTCAAGCTGACGATATTCAGGGACCTTCCGCTAGTTGCTACGATGAGAGCTACAGCCACCAACAAACGCATAGCCTCCCAGCGAGCCTCTGGAGAGCATCCAGGAGACTTCATCTGGGCCATCCGACTGGCCAAGATCCACAAGGGCTTGCTGGCGAAGGACTGGTTGGTGGATCCGTATACCAAGAGAGCTACGTTTGCAGCTGGGGATGAGGGTGAGCTGAATGTTGAGAGCGTCTTGTTGGATGAAGGCCTGGAGGGACTCACTATTGTCGAGGATGATAACCTTGATGAGGTTGTTGTTTTAAGTGAAAGCCTGGGAAAGTAGGTTGATTGTCGATGTAAGGTTCTACTGCTACTTCATTGAAACGCTGATCTAGTTTGCCCTTTCCATAGCTTGTGATAGAACCTCCCTCACACGCTGTCTATCCGCCTCCCGACTAACGCCATGCCTCAAAGGCAGCAACTCAAGTGGGGATATGTATCTCAGATTACCTGCTGGCTTCGACATAGTGCTAAAGATTGCTAGCATTCCGGGCAGTTTGCCGACGTCTTGTGCTCTAAAGATGGACTCTTTGTTATCCTTCTGTCGTGAAAAGTCCACTATCCTCGCAGCAAGCCCGGCGGCTACAGCCGTTGCCACTGTTTGAAGTCAGCATACAAACTCCTCAAGATCCACGGCTCTTACTTGACGTTCCACTCATACGCTCATTCCTCCTTTGATCCGGATGCTGAAAACCCTCGCCTATAATAGCAAAGTTCTGTGTATGCGGACGAGGTTCCGGATTAAAGCTTGAGCCTTGATTGCCAGTATTGGTAGAGTAAATGCACATGGTGCTGAGATTATGCCGAGCTGGGAATGCGACGGTGTTTGTGTTTTGCCAGTTCGACGCTGCTGCTATCACCAGAACACCAGCAGCTTTGGCCCTCGTCACGGCGGCATCGAGTTCCTTGGAGTAGTTGCGGAAACCAGCTGAGATACTGATGATATCGACGGAGTTAGGTGGCTCGATAGCCCAGTGGATGGCCTGATTGACTAGTTAGTATACCCTGAGACTTCATAGGTATGGGGCCCAGACTCTAGCCATTCGCAGAGGCCCTTCAATCTCATCCGCGAAGTCTCTCTCAAAGACCCTCGCCACGTACAGCCTAGCCTCCTCATACATTCCCTGAATGATCCCAGCACAGCAAGTACCGTGCCACGAGTCATTTGTAGGAACGCCGGTAAAATCTTTGTATTCGGCTCGATAACGGCTCCTCTCTCTATCATGAAGACCAGAATCGATAATGGCAATCTTTACCCGCTCGTAGGAATCTTTTCTGTCTCCTCGCATAGCTCTGATCAGATCATCCACCTCATCAAGCCAATCGCCCGCCGTGCGTTCATTGTCGCTTCCAAATCCGTAAGCTGTCTTTCGAGGTATTGTCGAAGGATTACCTACCTCTTGATGAATGTAGCTCTGATGCTTTGGGGCTTGGTCCCTCGTTGAATAAGTTCCTTCCAGCTCATCTGGGAGACGATAGACTTGCCGCCCTCGCCATAATTGCTTACCCATATGTCAAGGTCTTGTAGAGAATTCAAGAGGCCTCTTTGAGATATCTGTGGCGTTTTATCCTTGACTGTTACTCTGTCAGCCTCGAGGCACATGTATAGAATGCGACAGGGAAGTCCCTACAGTCAATACAAACAGCATCGGCGTATCCCTCTCGCGACACAACTGCCCTGTACCTCTGCTCTCCATCTTCCTTTGATGCTACCAAGGTACATCTCATCTTTGCTCTTGTGTCATTATCGGCAGGTATTGGAGGTTCCCTCCAATTGTCAGCCTGTGTAGTTTTACTGTAATCAGGATCGAGCAGCCGAGAATCCACGATTTGTTCGTTTTCCAAGGGTCCATGAATGAAGAGCTCTCGCATTCTGTCTTGAGCAACTTTCAGGTACGCGGCGAACAAATCTGCGTCTAACATCGGTGAAACAGTCAGTTCTCCGAGACTGCGTGACATTGTTACAGTGACTGACCTTCACGTAGATCGAAGTAAAAGTCAACATTATCCTCAGTTCCCTGCTTCCCCGGGGCAGTAGCTTGAGGTAATGCTGCATTCTTAAGAGTGACAACAAGCCTACCGAGAGGGTTGGTTACGTGACATATTCGCGTATCTAAGTGAACTATAGCAGGGCTTATTAGTAGCAGCACCAAAGCACACTCCGCTTATAGTAGTGAGACTGACCTCGCACTTCCCAACCGTCCTCGCTCAAGTGAGATCCTTTCGAAATGATACAGAAGTAGGAATGAGGCATTAAGCTGGTCAAAACCCCTTTGCTTGTGTCTTTCCCCGTATAGGGAGATTTCAATACGCCAAATTGTTGTAGCCCGACACGTGAGGGCCTTGGAAGCAAGGTTGTGGTATTGGACGAGTGAAGAGTTACTTTCACTATTTTGGCAGAAGGAAATCCCCAGTCACTTTTACAAGTCAGGTTCCAATTGAAGTTAAAGGCATCTTACGGTATCAACTTACTTCCGTATCATCTCCACCGTTCCGGACCAAAATGCCAAGCCAAGAACACGCTTCGGAGATAATCCCTGAGAACGGATGTTCTCTGATACGGTTTCAATCTCTCTGTAATCTATAAGAACTTAGCCCAACGGCTAATATGCTTGAGGGGTTGGCGTTACATATGGGTGATACCTCTGACAATCTCACAATAACCAGCGTTTGTGGTTCCGGCTTCACTGCCAGAATAAACCATTTGCGCAGCCCATGACGATGTAGCTCCTCTGTGAGAAAGCTCTTACCTTTAATGACTTGTTGTAAAATCAGCTTCTATCCTCAGAAAGCTTTATGCTTGGGTCACTCACGCTTGTAGGTCAACGTGTCGGCATGCGGTTCGCCTACACAGCAGCACCGACATTTGAGGAATTTTGGTTTCTCTATCGCAATATCTTGGAAGCGAGCCTTAGGGCAGATAGCTACTTCGCCGGGAAACGAATCGGACCCAGGATTTCTCATTACAGTCATCTCGCTGAGTGTGAAAGTTGCCTGGCCATCGATAGGCGACGCAGGTAGGAAAATCCGGTCCGAGACATTGAGAATTTCCTCTGTCAGTTCATCAAAGACCTTTTTCGCATCTCCATGCTCTGATTCGATTGGATGTAGAGCGTTCATGATTGCACGTTCTGGGATCTCAGAGGTTTCCCAAGAAGCATGACATGGTCACAATAAAAGATCATCAGGCTGACACGAGGGAAACGGGCTCGTTAGTGGCAGTGCTTATGCGGCTGAGTCTGGTGGTCACGTTAGGCAGCGACACAGCCCATGTTTCAGGCCATCCCCGGGTTGCTCACCCGAGCCTTATTCCGGTGCTGAAGAGCGTATGGTATTGGCTCTTTTAGCGGAATAGTATTGAATCTGGCTTTCTCTTCCTTTCAGTTCACCCTGAACAGAACAATACTCCCTGCAATCAGTTGATAGTACATAACAATGTTGGGAGTAGCCTAGAATGGGACTTGCTTCTGGGTGGTCAAAATGCATGGCTCCTCCTCACCGAACAGCAAGACGCTGGCCTACAAAGTCTGTGATTACCTGCATGTCATTCTCTATAATGATTGGAAGCAACCCCGCTGGTCAGACCACCTACCCCCTCATTATGCATGCAATATGCACGTTCATCACAGAATCGCGAGGCCCTAGTCGTATGCCTTGTTAAGAAGATGAGATTGATAGCGAGATGGGTACAAAGCTTTGGTTATGGCCTATGGCCTTCAACGCGGAATTATGTTTGATTACCGAAATAAAAGTATACTCCCTGAGGGGAGCGCATAGTAACCCCCCAGGTCCAACCTCCTGCACTCTTGAGCGATTTTCTGCAAGCCACTTACCCAATGTTACACTTGCCTTACTCTGGAAAGCACTGCGGTTTCGACATGGGGGTTGAAATTCCTTAGTTACAAGCTTGGCGTGATGATTTGCATACAGAGTAAGCAGGGCTGTTCTAGTGATAAGAATGACAGAACAGAACTTTCCGTCCTACTATCACACGTAAACAGCTTCTGTTGATGTTCAAATACCATCTTACAAGCTAGAGAACAGCTACTCAACGGCAAAATGGCTAGCCGCCACGTCCTCACCCAACGCCTCAGATCGGGCGTCATATTCTCAGCTCCGGGTAACTTGTTAGCTATACCCGAGGGAGGCTGGGGTGACGATACACCCATAAACCGACCGAAGAAGCCCAAGAGAAAAGTCAAAAACTTTGGCATCAATCACTTTTCTCACTGGGTAGCCAAAGTGACGCCTTATGATGAGCCATACGATAATGTCGAAAGCTTCATGCCGGGTAAAGATACCCGAGGCATTGGAAATGATTACAGGCCCTACTCAGTATCACCATACCCAGAACCTGAAGTAGAAATTGCGTCGGCGACAACGTCTGAGATGACACTATGTCTACCAATGCTCAGCGTTTCTTTGACAGCGACCGTGGATGGTACAGTCGCTCATACAGAGCTGGTGCAGAAGTTTCACAATCCTTCTGACATTATCATCGAATCTGCGAAACATGTTTTCCCTCTATACGATGGGGCTGTCATAACATCCTTTGAATGTACCATTGGTGATGAGCGCCGTGTGAGAGGCGTTGTCAAGCCCAAGGTACAAGCACGAAAGGAGTTTGAAGAAGCAGTCCGCGATAAAGTGGCAGCTCCCGCTCTGTTGGAAGAGCATACACCTGAGATCTTTGAGACGTCTCTGGGGAACATTCCCGCAGACACAACTGTGGAGATTAAGATCACGTACGTTCAGGAGCTCAAGGTCGTCATGATGGAGTCAGAAGCGACAGAAGGCATAGCTCTCACTATTCCCATGTCTATCGCTCCACGCTATAGTAAAGCGCCAATTGAGTGGGAGCCTGTATCGAAGGTAGCAGAGGATAAGCTTGACCTGTGGATTCGGGTTATTGATAACGGCAAAGTCAACCATGAAGGTTGTGACGAGGAGTCAGGTCACCTCCTCCAATTTAAAGGCTCCAAGCCCATCGAATACTCTAACGTTCTCGAAAAGGATGGATCAACCAAGACCTACTATGTTTGGCACCATGTATCTGGGCCAGCAGTTCTGAGAAAGGACTTTGTGTTTGTCATTCAAATGAAGGAAAGCCACCATATCAAGTCCAGAGCCATCGCCTGTCCTCCTGATGACAATGGTCTCGCTGCGATGATGGTAAACATTCGACCCAATGATCTCTTCCGGAACGCCATCATTCCACAATCATTCACTGGCGAAATCCTGTTTCTTCTTGATCAGTCTGGATCTATGGGGTTGTCAAATGGATCATACGGCTATGGTAGACGCCGCGCCGGAGGACGGAAGATTGATGTGATGCGGGAGGCAATGCAGCTAGCTCTCTCAGGCATACCATCAACATGTGTCTTCAATGTTATCTCCTGGGGTTCGGCAACAATGGGCCTATGGGAGACCTCGCGGCCTCATACTCAGAAGAGCATCAGAGAAGCCAAAGATTACGTGTCGCAGGTGGAGGCTGACATGGGTGGGACAGATCTCCTTCGAGCGTTGGAATCTGTGGTGAAGCGGCGGGTGCAGGATAGAGGATCCACGCAAATCATCATTCTCACAGATGGCGAACTGGAACCCGAAGACTCTATACAGTTTATATGGAAGAAGCGCCAGCTGTTCGGGGACAGAATTCGGTTCTTTGCACTGGGGATTGGAGACGAAGTGTCTCACCGTCTAGTTGAGAGTATCGCGGAGTGCGGTGGGGGCTACAGTGATGTAGTTCATACTACACAGACACCGAGATGGCATGATCGACTGAACCGTCTCCTGAAGTCGGCTCTGGAACCAAACAGCTGGAGCTGTGATATCGATCTTGGGAGCCAGTTTGAGCGAAAGGACCTCTTCGATTTCAAGCTCAGAGAGGAAAATGCGTCGGAGAGTGGGAAGACACCTTACATCCAAGCGCCCTTTCCAATCTCGTCTCTGCATCCTTTCAGCTTCGCCTCTATCTCTTTCCTGGTCGACCTTCGTCACGGCGGAGTCCTCCCCAAGACTATTACCATAAGCACAACGACAGGTGGTGCAAAGAAGAAAACTTACGAGTTACCCATCGAGGCTTCATCAGGCAGTGATGGCACAATCTACCGGCTTGTGGCCAAATCAGTTCTACTGGATCTACAAGATCAGATCAAGCGCGGAACAACCGAGACCCAGATTGCCAAAGAAAATGCAGAGAATATTGGCACCATGTACTCCATCACAAGCAAGTGGACAAGCTTCGTGGCTATCTCGGAAAATCAGCCTACCCAGACGGTGGAAGAGCAAAAGATGAATCACTACAAGGCATTGTTTGATGAGATAGACATTGACGAGCTTCTCAACAACGTCAGTGATGACGAGTACTCATCATCGGGCTCCTCCAGTATCATTAGCTATGATGCCCGTCAAAGACCCTTCGGAATGAATAATATGGGCTCATCATTAACAGCCAACTTGCCTCCAGATTCAGCAAATTCTTTGATGACAGGCCGGGTCCTTGAGTCTGCAAGTCGATTCCCAATACCAGCTTCCATGCCAGCGCAGTATATGCCACCACCACCACTACCACCACCCGGAATGAGGCCACAGCCCAAATTCGCGGGCACCAGTGGTCGAGCATATCCTAGAATGCCGATTTTGCCCAAGGGTGCTACTCCTCGGGGTTATGCACATCCCATAATGCAACGCATGAGCCATCCTCAGCCCACTCCCGATCCGAACGCAGAGCCTTCCGTTGGTTCCGCCCCCCTTATCTCCGGGCAAAGCCTCGCCTACCCTCAAAGTCCTAGCAATGAGGCCATGGAGGCACATTACCAGCCAGACAAGGATTTGCAAGCCTCCCAGGAATCTGATTGGTCTTATTTGCTGAGTGATAGGAACGATCTTGGGGGCAGTAGGTTCGGCAGACCACCCCCAATACCAGCCCCCGTGTCTAGGGCTGCACCAGCACGGCCACCGACTGGGATTAGTTTACCACCTCGATTTATGGAGGGTAGTCGAGGTGAACATCGTGAGGTTAGGCAATGTTCTTTGGAAGATGATGATGAGCCCGAAGCTCCACATCCAGTGGGAGCTCCTGTTTCTCAGCACGTGAGCGATCCGGTACAGGTGAAGCCGCAAGGGCCTAAGGATATAATTGCAGCTCGGAGTCTAAGAGCCCGTTCGAAGGAGGTGCCTGGACCGAGACCTTGGGAAGACCAGGACTCTAGTGATTCGCTCACTCAGGCGACGAGTATCGACGATGATGTCCGCATACCAACAAGAGAGCGCGTTTTTGGCGACAGTTCCCCGGCATTTATTGGCGCGGACTTTCCTCTTTATCCTAATGACTCTGATTGGCGGGAAGCAGAAGCATCGGCACGTACGCGAGCGGATACTGAAGACGACAGCCTGTCGGACTCACCGCCACGTATGGGAAGGCGCGGTAGACGCCGCAAATGTGCCGATGGTATGAGTGAAACACCCATGGCCGAGGCAAACTCTGGCTCCAGACGTACGGGCAAGGGCAGAACTCGGCAATTTGACGACTACACTTCCGAGGCCAAGTCAGACGATGGTGCAACTCAGCTTCCTCACCCTCATGTTGCCGCTGAAAACACTTCACCTTCTGGACACGCAGATGGAAACAACCGCGTCCTCGAGTCTGCAGAATCGACATCCTCCACGGTGTCCTATGTACCACCAATAGTCTTCGGATGCGCCAGACACGTACCACGCCCCGAGTCTGCTGCCACTCGTGAGAAACTCAGTGAAAAGGTCCATCAATTCAAGGAATCTGCCCAATCAGGGGTTGCTGATGAGCCCATGGTCTCACCTAGCGCCAATCGTGGATTCGCCATACCTGCGGCTATTATAAAGCAAGGAGAGCCACATGCGTCTGATGATGATGACACTGGCAAAATGACAGAAGGGATTGAAGGAACAGAAGTGGGAGAGTGCACGCCACAGCCGAAGGACACTGAAGACGTTGTCCCTCCGCATGGCGTTGTGTACGCACCCACATACGGCACACGTTCCCGTAACAGAACTGGTACCTCACGAATTAACTACGCTGAGGACAGTGCCACAGCAGAAGACTCTTCAGTTCATCACCATCATAAACACCATCCTCTGGCTAGTATACCGAGACAATCTACCCTTAGAAAGACAACCCGGAACCCTCTTAGCTTCAGCTCTTACCAAAACGCGCCATTCAGCCATTCTTCGCCAAACCCTCCGCCGCCACCTAGTGGCCTTTACCTACCTGGCCCGGCACAGCAAAGCGTCACACAGGATGATATACCTAGTGTTCCTGAGTTTCCTACTTACAGAGCTCCAGCTACCCTGATTCCCCCGCCTCCACGCCCCAGTGGGGCAATAAGCGCTACATACATTCCTCTTGGCGACACCTACTCTGTGCCTTATTCTACAGTACCAATATCAGGAACAAGTCCCGTGCGAGCAATGTCATCCTCTAGAAAAACCTTTGACGTTCCACTTGGAGCTTCTTTAATGAATCCGAGTAAAAAGCAGTTCGACTTGGATCATGAAGACGGAAGTCGAAGCAGTTTCGAATCAACATCACATCAGCATGAGTCCCACGGCCCTCTTAATTGGCTGGTTGCTATGGAATGTCAAGATGGTCAGGGTCTCTTCGAACTGACGGATCAAGCAAGAGGGACGCTCCGCCTACACTTCTGTCAAGGAACGGACGACAAACTTGGTCCTGAGATTTTAAAACTTCTCGACAGTTCCTCGGCCCAAGGTCAAGATTATGAAGACATATCTGCCCGACTTCTTGACACACTGATGATGGTTGAATGCTACAAAACGCACTGCGCACAGGAGGAAGATATCTGGGACTTGATGATGGAGAGGGCGTGGGACGCGGTGATATCGGTCCTTGGACTCTCGGATGAGGAAGAAACACTGGAAGAAGTGGCAGGTCAATTGAGGGGAGCCATGATGCATACGCATTATGTTGCTGCGACGGGAGTCAAGGACTCGGAGAACGATGAGAATAATGAGGGTACTACGAGGTGCCCAGCCTGTGATGTGATATGGCGGACAAACAGACAATTCTTTTGCCCTTTTGATCACGAATCCGACGGCGTTGATGAATTCACGAGCTGGAATGAGTTTTGGAGACATCAGGTAAACAAAGGACATGTCGTTTGTGCTCAGGAAGTTATCTACCAGTAGCAAGAAATGGCAGTAGAAGGATATCTATAGATTAGTTTCCGTATTTCACACACCTGAGACCTTGTTCATTTTTATGTTGCGTCGCTGAGGCTTGCTCGTAGCACGGCCACATGAAGACCGAGATCCGTCGATTTGGTGGAGAGTTGGGTACCCTACACCTGCAACCTCGATTACGAGAGCCGGATCCTCGTGGTTCATGCTAGTGATTGTGAAGAAAATTACATTAATTTCCAGGCGCTCATGCAAAATTGATCAATGACCTGCTGTGAGCTTGATGACTTCATGCGCCAGGTCAAAGCAACCGTAGGACCGCAACGACAGTTGGAAGTACCCAGCCCTGAATGAATGAAGGGATCATAATCATAGCCGGCAGCAAAGAGGATAGCCGATAGAGAAATAACTCCCGAAGATCCCGTAGCTATCAAATATGGATATAGATGCCGATTTTGCCATGACTACTACATATAAAGGTTATTGTAAATGACTGCGACAGCAAATCCACGGAATAAAGGCAGCTCAACAAAGCGGCATTGAGAGTCTGCGCCCGCTCGGGCCGTCCGAATCTCCACTTTTCCAACTGCCGATCCCTTGCGGAGAAACCCACAGGAAATGATCTACATCAAGGTACCAGGGCCAGCTACGTCAAGTGCCGTGGCTTTTCTCCATCGTGTTCTTTACAAGTTGCACCTGTCTTTCCACAATTTATATCTGTGCAAACGCCAAGAATCGAGTCTGGGATATAGGTTACAGAGACGAGTGTTTGATACGAATCGTCGATATTTCAGTGTCGTACACTCACTATTGTAGACATCATGGATCCAGACAAGACCAGCACAGATGGCACAGATAACATGAGGGGCTCAACAGGCGAGCAACCTCTCCTCTCAACACCCAACATGGACCGAAGAATCAGACGCGCCGTAAGTCAACTCCTCCCTCAATCATCAATCCACCAACTCACAGATATCATCAGTTTGACCGTCGCGTTATGCCCGTCGTCTGCTGTCTCTACGTCCTCTCGTACCTCGACCGCGGTAACATCGGCAACGCCAAGACCGCCGGCGCCCAAGAAGCCCTGAACTTGAGCTCCGATGACTGGGCGTGGGTTCTGAATTCGTTTTATCTCGCGTATATCCTGTTTGAGTGGACGACTATGCTTTGGAAGATATTCCCTGCTCATATTTATGTGTCTATTCTCTGCGTTTGGTGAGTTTCGTAAGTACATTGAGGTTCTGTTACTGATGGAGTCGTAGTTGGGGCACGGCTGCGATGTGTTCTGGGGCAGTTCACAGCATGACCCAATTAATAGTCACTCGTATCTTTCTTGGTATCTTTGAAGCTACCTTTGGTGCGGGTGCGCCATTCTTCTTATCGTGTCTATACAAGAGGCGGGAACTGGGCCTTCGGATGTCTATCTTGTTGGGAATGTCGCCTCTTGCAAACACCTTTGCATCAAGCTTGGCATACGGAATCACCCATATCAAAGGATCTCTAGCCCCGTGGAGATTACTTTTCATCATCGGTACGACTACCCTTTCTCAGCCTAACAAATACTGACTCCATTCAGAGGGCGCACCCACAATTGCCTTCGCACCCGTGGTCTACTTCTTCCTCATCGACTCCCCCGCAACCGCCAAGTTTCTCACAGAAGAAGAACGATACTTTGCTGTTCAGCGCGTCCAAGGTCCTGACGGTGCTAAGAAGAACGTCAACTGGAGACAAATCATCGCAGGGATTCTCGACTACAAGAATTACGTCCACGCTGTCATCCACTTCTGCTGCAACTTTTCGTTTGCCGCTTTGTCTAATTTCCTTCCTACGATCGTTAACGCCATGGGTTATAGTTCTATCAATGCTCAGGGACTTACAGCGCCGGCTTATTTCACGGCGTTTCTGCTCTGTATGGGAGCTGCGTTCTTCTCAGATCGGTGGGGAAATCGTGGGTTTGTTGTAGCTGGCTTTGCTGCCTTGGCCACGGTGGGTTATGGTCTTCTTGCAGGTATACAGGATATACATCGCCCAGGCCCCAGATACGCTGGTGTTTGGCTCGCTGCTTGCGGAATCTTTCCAGCGCTCTGCATCAACATTACGTGGTTGCTGAATAACCAGGGACGGGGTTCGAAGAAAGGAGCAGGCCTTGCAATCACGTTGATTATTGGGCAATGTTCATCTCTCCTCAGCAGTTACATGTTTCCAAAGGAAGATACGTAAGTCATTTATCTCTTTTGTGCTTAGATGAAAGCTAATATGGGGTAGACCGTTCTTTGTCAAGGGCTGTGCCATCGGCTGTGGTATGAGCGGCGCTATTGTGATTCTGGCGTTGTTCATGCACTTCGCCCTAGAGAGAGAGAACAAGCGCAACGAAAAGCTCTATGGGCCTCTGGACAACGATGCGGAGGTGGACGCTAGAGATGACGGTGAGCAGAGCAACAACTTCCGATACCTGACCTGAATAGATAGTGTTACCAATGATAAGGCCCAAATCCGATGTATCATTTTGGCCCAAACGTTGTCTTACAGGCCTGCTAAGTGAGGATATTCTAGAGAATCAAAATGCCTAGGTATTGGACTAGTCTCCAGGATTTTAGTAATATCTTATTGCAGCCAAGTGTTAGACAATCCATAATTGCTTCCTCTCCTTTGGGCTGTCATGAATGTTGCTATTTCAGATAACGTCTGGTCCAAGCAAACACATCGATCGGACCAGGGCCTCGGATGCTTTGCGCTCTCGCTTTTGACCTGCCCACCATGTCAGCATTAGGCTGTAAGGCATATTTGACAGCGGATCATTAACCCCCAAGCATAGCCTGCACACTGCCTCAATCAACAAAATGTTATCCCCATTTGAAGTTTAAACATGATCGAAAATTAAAATTTATTTTCGTGCACTCTAAACCCTCGCCTTCGCCTAGTTCGAGGCATATCTTGGAAGACAGATTTCTTCGCGATGGCGATAAATAGTGCGACAAAGGCGGGGTCAGCCTGCAGCCCAGCACCAGGGCTCGATATCTTCACAACCCCAGAGAATACGATATTCTATTCAGCGAGCCTGTATCGGACTCTTGACAAAAGTAAGCAGGAGATTCGACTTATCGAACTTTCTACACAAACTGGCGGCGACAGTATGATTGAGTGCAAGCTACTGCCTGCGTCGTTGTTAACCGACGCTCGAAAACAGTATCTTGCTTTATCATATTGTGCAGGAGACCCGACAGACACGAAGGAAATCTTGGTGAACGGAGTAACATGCAACATCTTTGCAAACTTACATCAGGCTCTGGTGCTCGCTCGCCGATATTGGATGAGATCTTCTGAGCAAGGACCACTTCGGCTCTGGATCGACCAGTTGTGCATCAATCAGCACGATTTTAGAGAGAGGTCACACCAAGTCGGCTTCATGAGGGACATATATGAGGGCGCGGAACGAACCCTGGCTTGCTTATCAACAACAGAGACTGATGGGAGAGGACTTGAATGGTTCATCGACCTGTGCGAGGCAGTCCCTTCTAGAGAAGACGATTTTCAATTCCCATACGAGTTAGAAGGAGAATCAGACGCCGAAGACACTTCCAGGAGAAGTGAGAAAATACGCAACACCTTCGCATCCGAACCTTTTTGGAACATATCCGATAGATATCGGTTGCCTCGCGTGCGCAACTATCTCTGGAAGAACATGCATTGTGAGAAGTTTGTAAACGGGTGGATTGAGTTCTACGATGTTCTCAGCAGCCCTTGGTGGAGCCGAGCCTGGATCTGCCAGGAATTCCTAGTATCTGAGCAGATCATCTTCATGTATGGACACCATTTCGTCTCATGGGGAGAGTACTGGAAGATCATGCACGGCTTCTGCGAAATACACATGTCGTCTTTGGCGAGCCGGAATCCCTCCCTTGGTCTCAACGGCCTTCCGAAAGATAGTCCCGAGGATCGCCAACTTCGCCGCATCCTCGACATCGTTCAGGAGAGAGGCCTCAACCATCAAGTTGATCATGTGCGGAACGCCTTGAGGATGAAGATCTGCTGGAGTGGCAGAATGGACATCAAGACTCTGTTATCGCACTCTCGATACTGCAAATCTTCCGACGATCGTGATCGAGTATATGCTATGCTCGGCTTAGCTTCGCCAGAATACAACATCTTTCCCGACTACTCAAATGACACGAGTGCAAGCGAGGTCATGATAAGGACTACCAGAGCAATAATCGAGAAGGAAGGCAGTCTAGATATCCTAGTTCAAGCTACCAGATTGGTTCGACGTAGGAACCTTGACGTGCCTTCATGGGTGGCCGATTGGAGCAGTACCGAAGCCTCAGATATTGATTACGGGGATATGCAAGTTTACAGCCGGAGCATCATGCCACAAGAATCTCCGCAATATGTCTTCGAAACCATCACAAATCCAAACGACCAGACGCGAGCGCACATCCTCAGGGTTTATGGAACTTTCATCACAAAAATACAGCGGGTTACAACAGCATGGCCGAAGGCGGGATTTACTAGCGCCCAAGGTTGGCACGGCTGGGCTCTTATATCTGTCACAGCTGGAGACCAAGTGTGGTTTCTGTACGGGTCAAGAGTTCTGATGGTTCTGAGGCCATTTCTTGATGGGTACCAGGTCATCAGCTCTGCCTATCTGATGGGGAGATCGCCAATGTCCAGTGAAGAGCGTAGGGCTAAAAGGAGCCGCATAATATTATACTAGCGCGCGCATATTAATATTTATGGAATGATAGTATACGGCCTGTTGATACTTGTGCGAGTAAGCAGATTCTAATTATAATTTTGAGAAGTGTCATGGTATTTTGATTATATCCCAATTTAGCAGGAAAGATAGATATTTATGCTCGATGGTGAAGGCAGCTCCCATAATGCGTTGGTCTTGACGATCGCTTTCTTCGATACACATCATATCCACGATGCCTAAAAACGCAATATCCAAACATCACCGAGTCTCTGATTATCTTCCCCGAGACCTCCATGGACAACCACAGCATCCTCTGCACTTTCATCCCGCACAGCATCAGCGTCAAACCATCCCCTCGCAACAGGTCCTTCATCACCAACCTCCACTTTCTCCCAGGTATTCCCCTCAATATCAAAAGCCCAGACGTCAGACAGCATCTTTCCAGCACCAGCGTGGCCTAGAGCGCTAGGGTCTCTCTCGCCAAACATGGTGATCAGGAAAGACCTGCTCTGAACCGAGATTGCCAGTAGTGTTGCGACACTTCTCGCTTCAGGGCCTTCAATACCATCTGGCTTGTAAGTAACCGTAGACCATGAACTAGTCTTGATGTTGTAGATATCTAGCGCGCCACCCTGTTCTGTCTTGCCATCGAAACCGTTCATGCGATACAGCTTCCCATCGAGGTATGCGATGGAGGAGCCACCGCGCGCAGAGCCTGGTGCAGAAGGAAGCTCATTCCACGACTTTTTAGTCAAGTCAAAAACCCAAAGATCGTTCAATCGGTTCTGCTCAGGGCATCCAGAGTGGAGGTAAAGCTTGTCTACTCCATCTGATGTGATGCAATGGTAGCTTCGACCATCAGGGAATGGCGCAGAAGAATCTGCGGGCTCGATAGAGTCCCATGTATTGTCGGCTGTGTTGTAGCGCCATATAGCGCCCTTTTCTTCGATAGGCTTCATTTCGAGCCCGCCGCGCCCAGAGAAGAGGAAGATGTTGGTTCCGATGGTGGTGCTTGGGCTACCGACTCGAGGTGAGGGAGATTTGGCGGGGGCCGTGAGCGTTTGAGCGCCGTGTTCTGCAAGGGTCAGTAACCATTAAGTAGTGATTGACTGTAAAAGTACCTTGAGTATCGAGGCTGACAACATCGACTCTGTTGTCAACCGGTTCACGAGGAAGCAACTCGCCGCCAAAGATGTAGGTCTTTTGACCGATCGTCGAGACAGCTTGGGAAGAACGGTAGAGGCGCTTGCTGGAAGTGATACGAGACCAGGTGGCCTTTGGGAGCTTGATAGAAGTCATTGTGATAGTTGAAGTGCAAAGCGATAGATGGTTGACGTTGTGAGAATGAGTCTGGGTGGCAGGAGGGAAGGTTTCTATTTATATTCCCTCAAGCACCTTGTTGGGTTCCAAGTACCAAGCCATTCGGACATAGTTAACATGTTTCTCAGTTTACCATCAATACTGCAGCTAGGTGATCAACATAAACATAATGGTGCTATGCACGAGAATACAAGTCGTAGCCCCACAGCGGCATGCGGACTCCGCGACCCCATCAAAATAACACACTCACCAATAAGCGTAGCGAACTTACGGCACTTGCGACATTGACGTTAGCTCATCCTCCAAGACCACGGCCCATAAAACCACCACGGAGTCCGCTCCTCCACTTGAAATTGCCAACCATTCAATCAACAATGCCTCCAAGACGAGCCTGTGCCGGGTGCTTCAAAAGAAAAGTAACGTACCCCACGCATCAATCCCTGAAGTATCCATAGACCGACGAAGACGAAGTAGATCCAATGCATCAGATCAGATCCCGAACGGCAGTGTGAAAGATGCGCGAAACTTCATCTCGATTGTGCATCCAACAGGGAGCCGCACAGTAGGAAGCAAGTCCTTTGACATCATTAAGTGAAGGACACGGCTGACTTACTACAGAGATGTCCTCGCAAACCAGGTCGCGAAGCTTGAGAGTCGGGTCGCTGAGCTTGAAGCATCTCTTGTGCAGATGCGCTCCGAGATTAGCACGACCCCTGCCGCCATTTCACTTTCGACCCTGCGAGGTAATTCTGAGGATACCACGGGTTGCATCTCGCCATATCTGCAACAGAACTTCACAGGCGCTGCATCTGTATCGCTCTGGACATGTATCGGGCAGCACTGGTACTTCAAAGGCATACCCATAAATTCCGCCCAAGGCCGAGAGTGGCTTTCCTCCAAGATCGGTCAAAGCGTCACTTTAGATGGTTTTCATCTCTTCGGATCGCAGAAACACCATTTTAGCAGCGCATCACCTCCCTTCACCTTCCCAGAAAAACGGACGATAGAAGCATTTTTAACTTCGTACTTCACTTCGCCTTGGCGACTTTTATACCCTGTTATTGACGCAGCGCTTGTTGAGGATACGTTGGAGGCAGCTTACGCCGGGTCGAAATCGGCCCAGGTATGCCTTTTGGCGTTCATTGCTTTGTGTTCGCGGTTGAAGGGGTCTCGAGTACAGCTTGATGACAGCGATGTCTATATACGTGCGTCGCACAGCTATCTACCGGATATACTTGGCCAGAGCACTGTGGAGAGCCTTCAAACTGTTATTATGCTTGTGAGCCAACGATTATCCAAGCAATGTCTACTCTGCGCTAATAAAACTCAGCAAATCTATCACCTGCTCTCTGGCCAGTGGGGTGCCGCTGCTGAACTCCATCCCTACGCCTGCCGCGCTATACACGATCTCAAAGGGCACATCTTACATCCATCCCGGTCCGATAGCGCAGTTGACCGTCGACACAGACATATCCGGAACCTCTTCTGGCTATGCTATATCCTCGACAAAGATATAGCCCTACGATACGGAAGACCGCCTTCTCTGACGAGGGAGTATTATGACCTGACGCTGCCAGATGATTGGGCGAGGGTGTATCACGCACCAGCCGGCACCACCCAAGGTGGGATGTTCTTCCAGGACGATTCTGTTTGCTTTTCGCAGGACCTCTGCCTGGCCCAGATCAAAGAGAGGATTTGTCAATTTCTCTGCTCTCTAGATAATTCGAAACTATCGGATGGACTGATTCTTAGTCAGGTTCGCCAGCTGGACGTTGATCTTGAGAGGTGGCGCTCCAGTATCCCTACGGATTATAGGCCAAAGTGGTCTCTGAGTTCGGAACAGCCGCTCGTCCATCCGCAAATGTCTTTTGCTCAACGGGTCAGGTGTTGTCATTTGCAGCTAGAGTATAATTACCTGACGACGGTGATTCATACCACTGTCCGGAGATGCGGTGCGGTCTACGCTGTGGAAGATAATCTCCCTGAAGATCTTCATAATGTTTATCATTCAAGCAGTGATATCTCTCTCGACGCGAGTCGTACTACTCTCCAGATCTTCAAATTACACATAGATATCCTCCAGGAGGACATGTTTGCGTAAGTCGAATAAATTTCATTGCTCATCATGCTCTAACATCAACAGCCACATCGCGATTTACCCGCCTGTAGCGGCCATGACGCTATTTATGAACATTCTGCTCCATCCGTCAGATCAACGGATCCGAAACGACCTTGAACTGCTGGCCGGCTGTGCAACGCTGTTCCAGGACATGGCGATGGAAGACTTGACGAGTGATGACATGGACTGCATTCAAGAGCTGAATAGGTTCATTTCCGAGCTGGTCCGCCTTGGAAACAGTGCGATATGGAAGGCAAAGAGGCAATTAAGGAGCATGACCGGAATACCATCATGATCCGGCATTGAGACTCGGATATAAAGTTTTTGACTTGTGACCGGGCCGTATACCCGATGACGACGATCCGTCGCATCTAATTGGCCTGACCGGACCCCAAAGAAGTATCATCTTTCCGGTCTAGATATTTATGTTGCGCGCCCTCTTTTCACTAAAGAATTTCTTGCAAGTTTCTGTCCACGCCTTTTAAACGACGCTCTTCATCCTCGGAATTCGATACTACGTGAACCGGGCCAAGATTCCGGTCCCGCTTATGATAAGCACCATTCATTCTGAACAAGGCGCTTCCCCGCAATCAAGAGGGTATTTAGAGGGCGCACGCCAATGATAGACGAAGAATAACAAAGACATAAAAGACCACACGCCAACTGAGAATTGACCATCAACACGAAACATCATCAACGTCGATCTACAAAGGCAATTCGCATCATGTCTTCAACCACCACCATCCAAGCCCAAAGCGGCACCCTCACCATCTCCCCCAACTCCAAACCTGTCCACGGCCATGAACTCAAAGACAAAACCCCCCTTCAAGCAATGTCCCACGGCGACGTCGTCCTCAGCGGCATCCCCACGCACCCAAACTTCGCCTCCCAGCGCCAATGGCAGCTCGAGCACATGGCCGCCGCCTTTCGCCACTGGCACCGCGAAGGCTACGTCGAAGGCATCAGTGGCCACATATCTGTGCGCGACCCCGAATTCACCGATGCGTTCTGGACGAATCCCCTAGGCCGACACTTTGGCCTTTTGAAAGTCAGCGATATGATCCTCGTTAATCTCCAAGGGGAGGTCATTGGAGGGAATCGCTCACGACCGCCTAACTCAGCGGGGTTTCTGATCCATGCTTCTATTCATAAAGCGAGGAGCGATGTTCACGCTATTTGTCATTGCCATAGCATTCACGGCAAAGCATGGTCTGTGTTCGGCAAGCGCCTTGAGATGTTGACGCAAGACGTATGTAAATTCCGAGGCGACGCGCACAGCGTTTATGATAGTTACGGCGGCGTTGTGCTGGGCAGTGAAGAGGGAGACCGCATCGCAGCAGCGATGGGGCCCAAAGGAAAAGGCTGCATCTTGCGAAACCACGGTATTCTGACCGTTGGGCAGACAGTGGACGAGGCGGCGTGGTTGTATACTTCTATGGAGAGGAGCTGTCGTGTGCAGCTTCTCGCTGAGGCTGCCGCGGCGAATGGGTTGCCTAAGGTGCTGATTGACGATGAGGAGGCTAATTTCAATTTCGATGTTGAGAGTGATCCTGAGATCTGTTACTGTGAGTTTCAGGCTTATTATGATTTAGAGGATGAGTTGTCCAATGGGGCTTTTAAGAAGTAGGGGGATGGAATGCAAGTCCGTCATACCTTTCGCTCGCAGGCTCGTTTCTGATTGATAGTTGAGCTGGCGGATATATCAAAACATAAATTTATAAGTTACATTTTCTTTTATTCATTCTTTAGGTGGAACTCTCAACAGGTTGTAAATGTATGGCGCCCTTTTACTCCATTTTACTAGAGTGCACTATCAGAGTCATGGCTGTATCCTTTGTGAATGGTCCCCAGTATTTCCGTAATTCAAGCCCCGCCAATCCTTTCTCTTTCCCGTCCCCTTCACTTTGACGATGATGCAGTTCGATATAAGGCTTGAAGGCTTAGTTAACTGCTCTGCAGAGTCCTCTGGATTGTTCTACCTCTTAGGGAAGCAGTTTGTCGGAGATGAGTCAGTAGAAAATAGTACTAAGCTCTCCCTATTCCATGGGTGAAAACTCCCAAAGGCATGGATACGGAGATCCTAGGCTTGAGCCGACTCCAGGCCTGACCCTTCTTTTGCTTCTCAGGTTTGAGGAATGCCTCGCCCTGTGTGCCTGGTGCATAGTATTGTCCGCTTGTTCCCTTTCTGTATCCCAAGTTTCGGTATTGATAGCTGTCGCGTACCTTGAGTGCTATTTTGACTATATTTATGGAACAACGACCAACGCACATGATGGAAGTTTCAGAGTGGGTTGACAAGCTATTTGCTGAGTGTTTGTGATAAGACGGTGGTTGGACTTCAATTGAGGCTCAGAGATAGATGGGTTAGGACGTCGGATTGTTGTCTTGAGGTAGTGGTAGTGATTGCAATGATGGTAAATAGAAACAGAGATGAATATAGGCATTTCGGCATTGGATCCCATTTTAAATAGCTTTCTATCCGTAGGTTTCTTGTGACACTGAAATCTGCATATTTTGCAAACTGAAGTCAGTCACCTTGGAATGAAATCTAATACATCTGGCTAATCACATTTTTGTGTACCACAAGTAACTTCAGAATTTCCTTGCTTTATTCCAAGAAATAACAGCATCTGTACATTTAAGGTGTCAAGGTCGTAAACTGTAAGGCAAAGATGTGCCTTGGCACTAACGATATACTGCCTAAGTATGAACTTGAGCTCTATACTTTGTTGTTACCGAAGTATATTTTAGGCTCTTAACCTTGTCATAGTGCAAGTCCACCGATCAATGCAGGCCCGGATTTAAGTTGTGAATATGCTTTTGGGATTTCGATCTTGGACATGTTCTGTTTATGTAAAGT